AGTGACATTTTGGTACGCAACTGGTTTTTCCCGTTGGGCCGCGCCGGCTGGCTCATCGGTTCTATTTGTGCAATCATATCCTTGGCCCGAAGTCTGCAAAATCGATATCAACACTCTACTTCGTCGGTAGCAAAACAGACAACAACTAAGTGAAAATAACTAAAGTGAGACTCAAATATAAATTAACAGAAATAAAACACTATTTATCCTCTTCACTTTTCCAGGTTGGGCCCAGGTTCCGGACCCAGCGTACGCGCCCTATCTGAGACTATCACCTACTCTCGTGTCCCTCATGCGCGTGCCGGCAGTCATGCCCCTCTTACCATCATCAGATAATTAGCCGGACATTTCTTTCTTCAGTATTTGCATTTAATTTATTCAATTTCTTACAGTTATTAACAATTAATATTATTTCTTATTGCATTTATCTTTGCAGGATATCTCCACTCAACTATTTAAAATCTCATGCAAGCGGTCATGTCTTTAAAACTTCAACAGGTGCGTATAATTATTTGCATCATCTAACAGTTATAATTGATATTAATTTCTAAAATTTCATTTGTTTTTTAAAGAATACATTTTTATAAATACATCAAACTGAACAGACGACGAAAATTCATCTAAAGTAATAAATATGTATGTGAATATGCCACAAAAAATTATGCCGAATGGGCTCTGTGTGGGGCGGTAAGGGCGATATGACATGATATGCTGAATATATGGTTGGTTGGCAGACGCAATAACTTTTGGGGCCTTTCCATCACTCTTGGAGATCAAAAAAGATTTTTTTAATTAAAAGGTAATAGATATAAATATACTTATAAATGCGAATTTACGCATAAGGCTAACAAACAAAAACTTAATTTAAAATTCTCAAAATCTTTTCTCTTTCAGGGGGCTCAAATATGAGTCTGCTGCTGACTCTGCCTGTTGCTCGAGGCGAGGATGGGCTTTATAGAACTGATTCCATCGGATGATGTGGGCGTGGTCTTGCCCGAGGCCTTTTCTTAGCCTATCCCTCGGGATAGAGTTGGTAAAAAGTGTGCCGTTGACCAGGAACCTGGCCTTGATGGTGACCTACTGGCCTCTCTGGTTAGAGAGTTTCTTGGACGGACTGACGAAAGGCATCTAAGGAACGGTTCCTTGAAGTCTATTTGGCTTCTGTCACACTTATGGGTACCTTTGGGGCATGCGGCGCAGAATCGAATCTATATCGTCCTGGGTCACCTGGCTCTGAAGCTCATATAACTATGGCCAGCGTCCACCAAATGTAAACACAGAGTGAGACAAAACAAATGGTAAACAATAAACAAACTTTAGCAAACTCTTTCTTAATATCATATTTTATTACAGGTTATTTTGTCATGGCGGCTACCACCAAGCTATGATGGACAGTCGGAAACGCTTCGCCAAATTGCGAACGTGTCATACTGCTATCAACCGCGACAAGAAAAGTTCCAATGTTAAAGGACACTTTGGCAAGATCCGCTCCGTCGCTCTTCTGGCCATTCATGGGGTATACTGTGTGACAAGTGCAGCGCAGGCTCGATTCTACATAGTCCTGGGTCACCTGTCTAATAAATAAATGAATAAATAAGATCTGACAAAACTACCCTAATATTACATTTTTATCACGAAATGCCTTTGTCATTGCGGCTACCACCAGGCTACGATGAACGGTCGTAAACGTTTCGCCAACATGCGAACGTGACTTACCACCATTCGCCACAACAAGAAAAACTTCTCATGCTTACGGATATTTTGGGAATCTCTGCCTCCTTGTGCTTCTCGAATTCCACTACACGCTGCGCGATCATGGGCCACCTACTTGTGCCACACAACACATCAGCGGTTTGGATCCTAAAGCCAAAGGAGACTTCAGTCGGGTGCTTCTTCAAATTGGACGCCATATTATTACTGAACTGCTTGTTTCCCTTTTGGGCCGGGCCGGCTGGCTAATCGGTTCTCTGGGTGTAATCCCATCACTGGTCCGCAGTCCGCACAATTGATATCAACACGCTACTACGTCGGTAGCAAAACAGACCTGCGCAACACTTTAAACTACACACTCTATAAACATCAAAGGGAACTTCTTACAAATGAACAATGCAAGGGGTTGTGACAACAACTAAATGAAAATAACAAAAGTGAGACTCAAAGAGAGACTTCACTTTTCCAGATCGGGCCCGGTTCCGGCGTACCCTCCTTACCTGAGACTATCACCCACTTTCGTCTCCCTCATTATAGCCAGTGGATGGCCTTCATCAGCCCGTGTCGGCAGTCATGCCCCCTTTCACCATCATCAGACATTTCTTTCTTGAGTATTTGCATTTGATTTATTTGATTTTTTTACAGTTATTAAAAATTAATATTATTTCTTATTGCATTTATCATTACAGGATATCTCCACTCTGCTACTTAAAATCTCATGCAGGCTGACATTTTTTGGTCAATGCCTCAACAGGTGCGAATAATTATTTACATAATCTTATAGTTATAATAATTGATATTAATTTCTAAAATTTCATTTGTTTTTTTAAAGAATACATTTTTGTAAATACATCAAACTGAACAGACGCATGAGCTGCAAATGTTTGCCAGTCGCAGAAAAATAGAGTAGGAAAATATACTAATAAAAGGTAGTTGTTGCACCACTGAGAACCCGCTAAAACAAATACATATGTATATTAATATGCCTTTAAAAATATTATGACGAGTGGCATGTATATATGTATGAATTATATTTTCATTTTTTTGGCAACTATGCCTGTTGACCGCTTCATATAAACTAAACTTATCATAACTTAAAGTTATCCCACGTAGTCCATGATCTGGGGCAGCGACATGGACAGATTGCTGACTTGGCGCCTCGTGACCGTTTTTAGCCTGGGCACTTGAAGCGCACATGCTTTGACACTAGGTGTAGGTGATTTCGTCGATCGCTATGTTGCATCGTTAGCTTCTTTGTAGCGCACACAAAGACACTTTGTGAATTGTTTTTGTTAACTCCTTCCTTTCAGTCGGCGGCGAACAAGACAGATGATGATTTAAGGCAAGGAGACTACGGCCATGATAGTGCAGCTACTCAAAATTGGCCTGGCTAGCAATTTGGTCTCTAGATCATCTATGTGCTGGAGGTTTTTCATGCTCAGTTAACGAATGGAAGGGAAGCTCCCAAATCAATAGGTTGGACTATGGCAAACTTAGAAAATGTATCGATGCATGTCAGAACATTTGATTCGTTCTTAGAAAAAATATAGATATGGATAATTTCATAGGTATATGATGGATGTTTTCCCAAGACCTGTTTTTTTGGGTCTTGAAGGCGGTGAAGAGCGAATTGGAGCGAAGTTGGAGATCTTTAAGAAATCTTCTAGCGTATGTCGTTCGATTCAAGTGTTGACATTATGTGGCAAGAATGTTCTTATTACCTTTGTATCTATAATCTATCAACTTAAAAGGACTTATATCTGCAAAAACCAATTATGATCATTTCCAGGGCGGGATTGATTAGCAGGGTGAGCGACGGATGTATTAGTTTTGGTTTAATAAATCTGTTTCTCCAGAGCACTGCGCCCTGCGTAACATGAAAATACAAACAGAGAAACGATACTAGGTTACCGAATTTGAGAATATGATAGACTTTTCTGCAAAACGCCTTTGTGCACACGACTCCTGAAAGCGTCGGTATTGTGGGAAATCCTTTTTATTTTGTTTCAAAAAGAGGTTTTCCCTATTCAAAGAAACTCCGAATATAATATGAGTATACTTATACTTCGGAGCTTTCTAGTGCTATTTACAGATTCAGTTTAATTTCATTGATTCATATCTGTATGATCCCACATTTATGCATTGTTATTACCGTGTACTAATTTTGCCTAAATTGGATTTCCGTGTTGGGAAAACGCCGACATTAAGAGTTGACGCGCTAGCTAGCCAGCTGCCTTGGAATTATAGATCCGGCATAACGGTTGCACAGAAACAAACTTGGGGAATCAGCTCAGCCAATAGCCAACGTTTGCTCAATCTCCACCAATTCCGCATTCTCGCAGATTAAAATAATTTGATAAGGCGCAACTAAAATCCTTAAAGAAATTAACGTTTGTTAGGCATAGCGCAGGCGTTTTTATATGCCTGCAACTATTAACGCTTGCTTGACAGCTCCATGCAAAAAAATAGTAATGAGCCAGACACAGGGTATCTTCCAGTCAGCAATTTTCGACTTTCGTTAAAGCACCCTTAAGTTATTGATAAGATTTCTTGCACACTTTTTCGCACTTATACCGTTTGTATTATAATGCCAACTGCTAAAATAACGTTAATTCAATTACTAAGAATCTTCAACAATTTTACTCAGGCGTAGCTAACAATAATACATATTTATGTTCATGATATTGCTTAACTACTTGAGTTTTGAGAACAGGCTGTGCGCTACGCAATGATCCAACTCAGCGACATAGTCGAACAGTTCCTCCATACATGTTTCGGTTGTTTTAGATCGACTATTTACACGGTCGTTGCATTCTTGATATTTGTTATATAAAGATTCGATATGACCTTTAGCCTGGCACTTATCCTTAAAAAATAAAATGTGATCATTAATACAATACATAACAGCATATAATCAATAAATATCCGCCGACGAAGTACTCACTCTAAGAGCTGCTTGCGGGTCAACAAGTTCCTCTTCATCATCATCAGCCTTAACCACGGGAAGTCCGACAAATTTCCAAAATGCCATTTTAGACGCTGCGAATGATGTTAGATTTGAAATAACAATCTATCTATGCATTTGTAAATAAATATAAACGTGCACATAAAATGTAAGAAAAAATATAGATCGGCTGTTTAGTTAATGGTTATGTATGAAAACTTGAATAATTCATAATTTCAAAACTTGAAACAAAATTAATGAATTAAATTAACTTAAAAATAAGTACCAATTGCCGACTGCTTGTATGGAACTTAAATGTGAAAAGCAAGTTAAAAACTTTTTGTTTAGTGAGTTGTGATGCAATCAACACTGAAATTTTATACTAGAGTTGCCATACTTATAAAACATTTTCTGATATGGCTGCAAATATTCTAGGCCAATATTTTTTTAACGCCGTTGTTATATATTTTACTTACGTTAATAACAAATTACAAGCCGTATTTTGACTGCTTTTGAACAATTAAAAATAACTCTAATAATTAAGTTGAAATAAACTTTTTGGTGAGCAGAATATTCTTGCTTATTAATAATCGATAGAAAGGAGTTCAAACATCGATAACATTGATTTTACACCCCTTCGAGGCCTCGTTTTTTCTGTGTATTTTTTATTCGACAGTGTTTTAATACTTCATGTGTTGTTATATATGGGGAATATTGTATTTTTATGATGCAGATAAAACAACATTGACTTCTGCGTTCAAAGTTTTAGAAGCGCCATATCCCGTGGAAGGACAGATATCTATAACATTTTCGTATCCCTATATAATACACACCCGGACGTGCCTAACGACATAGTCGGCAGTCGTCAGCTTAAAATGTAAGTAGCAAAAGTAATCATATTATTTTTTGCTCAATTTTTGTTTGGTCAAAATAAGAATGTCAAAAATTAAACTAACTGAGGTTGTGATCTTGTTTTTAAAGATTCCGTAAACGTGGCTAATTGTTATGCTATGGATACCAGCAATATTTACAACTCAATTAATGGCGGAGAACCCTCAGGAGAACAGTCACATATTTCCATGCAAGGGTATCGTGATGGTAATGCCTTGAATTCTTTATGCCCAACGAGGATGCATAGAAACTTTAAATTATTAGCGGATCCGCAATTGCTGAAATGTGGCTCTAAGCTTTACCGTTACGACGGTGTTGTCCCCGGAGACCCCACATACCCGACAATTACACCTCGTGATCCACGAAATCCTCTAATTCGAATTCGAGCCAAACCTGTCGAACCATTAATGTTGGTTGTACCCCGGTAAGTAGCATGTAATTAGTCTTTGATTAGATCTTGATATAACATATAAGACTTATAGGTTTGTGATCGATTCTCATTACGTTGGTCAGCCACCTGCTATTGAAGTGACGGTAGTCAATCTTAACGACAACATCGACAAGCAGTTCCTTTCCGGCCTATTAGATAAGTGTGGGCCCACTGATGAAATAAATATATATCATCACCCTACGACAAATAAACATTTAGGCATCGCACGTATAGTCTTTGAAAGCACTAAAGGAGCACGTCAGTTTGTCGATAAATATAACCAGAAATCAGTAATGGGAAAGGTAAGTCTTGCTGGGATTTAAAGAGATTAGTTAAGTAAAATTTTGGAACACTTTATTTATATACATTTATTTTCACATCTTTTTTATACAGATTTTAAACGTATTCTGCGATCCGTTTGGTGCCATTTTGAAGAAGACTATTGATAATTTAACAAATCCGGTTGTAGCCAGGCCGTTAATAAGCACCACACCGCATTCGACAACAACTCTGGTTCCGGCAAACGAACATTTTCATGATTACACCGAAAAAGAAGGTCCACATCTATTATCTGGAAGTGGTTACAACTCATTTCACAAGAGTGCAGTGTTTGGAGAAATAGATAATGATCGTCACAGAGAACGTGAACGGGATAGATTTATAAAAGACCGTGTACGGCATTCCGTTGAAAGAGGCTACGATCGAGAACGTGGGACACGTAATAAATATTCCAGCTCACGTCATAGTCGACATTACTATTCTCGAGGATCTCGTGAAAAAAGTTCGGACTCAAGCAGGGATCGGTTATACAATTCTAGAGAACGAGAAAGAGATACAAGGTCATACGACTACTCTCGTTCTAAAGGACGAGATAAATTTCGAGAGCGTAATAGATCAAGAGATCATTCTCGTGATCGGGTAAGGGAGAGAAGGGATCATCGACCAAGTACGTCAAAAGAACGAGATTATAGAGAACGAGATCGTGATCGATCCATTGATGTTGGAAGTGATCGCAAGGAACGCGTGAGTTCTAAACACGATAAACGTTATTCAAGTCATGAGTGCCATGAAGATGAAAATGGAACCTCTTCAGTGTTCAAAAACCAACAATATTATTCTGGCATTCCGGTATCTAACCTTATATCATCCGATAATTATGGATATGATCATTATGGTTATACTGTTAGTGAAAATATTCAATCTTGGTCTAGTTCCCACAGAAGGTGGCCCGTCTCGCAACCAGATTCACAGCTTATACCCCCACCACCTCCACCCCAGGAAGAAGAAGAAAACTGGGATGATCCCCAGCCACCAGCTCTAACGTTACATACAAAAGATATATCGCCTTCATCCGAGTCAGTTGGTATAAATCTACTATCACCAAGGCGACCAAAGTCAAATAAATACAATAATAATCTCAATAATACTGACGCGGAAATCAGCACAGAGAATGTTGATTTAGATACACGTATTGCCCTGATATTTAAGGGAAAGACGTTTGGCAATGCTCCACCATTTTTGCAAATGGATAGTAGTGATTCTGAAACAGACAAAGCGAAGGTCGATGAAATCAATGAAACTGTTGACCAGCATTGCGATTCAAATAGCATACAAAACAAAAAAGAGAAAAATGTTTCGGCCTTACAGCAGCACGGTGCTAGCGATATATCAAGTGACGACGATATTTTAATTAAAAAAGAAATAGTCAAGCACCCAACTGAAAAGCTGGAAACGAATAATAACAATGATGATAACATGTCTTTGTCAAGTTTATCGTCACATGAAGAAACTACAAAGGAATCTACGAATTCTTCAAGTCAATTAACAACGAAAATTATGTTTACAGGATATACGGAGCCTAATGCTTCACATCAGGGTAATTATTACTATCATCATTCAGCCTATGGATATGGACACTATCCTTCGGCAATAGGAGCAAATTCTGGATTTACAGGGAAGTATTTTTCTAACCCTGCATATATGCAATCCTCATACCTGCCTGGAGTGGTTTCTGCTGACGCTTTTAATTTAGACCCGTATATCCAGTCATATGGCTATCAACATACGCAACCGGATCAAAATGACGAAATGAAACAAAATGTTAAAAAGGTGATGAATTTTATAGTCGAGGAACTGAAGCAAATCCTTAAACGAGATGTTAATAAGCGTATGATTGAAATGACAGCTTTTAAAAATTTTGAGGTTTGGTGGGACGAACAAACCGCAAAAGCACGTTCAAAACATTTGTCTTCCGTGGTCGATACCGCTACAACTAGTAATAACTTAGTAGAAAAACAAATAACGCAGGAGAAGCCTCCCGACATTAATAATTTAATCAACACGCAAAGAGAAATGCCAGATTTTCAATCATTCACCAGTATAGGTATAAGGGCTGCAATGCCTAAATTGCCATCATTTCGGCGTGTTCCCAAACACCCAAGCCCTGTTCCCGATAAGTTGGAACGGGATCTCAGTGATCAAGAAGAAATGGTGCAGCGGTCTGATTCAGACAAAGATGATTCAAATATGGGCAGTTCCGATGCTCAAAATCTTAATTTAAAAAGACGCACACTGCAAAGGGATAGTGGGAAATTGAGAATAACGTCAAGCAATATACGATTAAAAAGAAAAGGAAGTGCATCAAGTTTCTTTTCGTCATCCACATCGTCGTCCTCTAATAGCGACGGTGAAAATGATGCTGAAGATATCGCCAATAGAGCTGAAAACGAAAGGAGCAGCGACGACGAAAGCTTTGATGAAGACATCCCATCAAGCAATTCAAATGAAAGGGACAAATTCCCTAAGAGGCGTAGGCATAATTTTAAAGCTTCAGATGGCAAAATACTAAACGTATATTCAGACTCTGAGGAAGAAAATCAGTCAATAAATCGAATATCAGCAACCAAGCGGGGTCGCACGAAAAAAATGGACATATATTCTGATACTGATGAAGACGATGACCAAAATACAGGGACAAAACGATTTACAAATTCAAAGCCTAATCTCATATCATCTATACCGTCTGACCTTGAAGACATAAGCAAAGATAGTTGTTTTGGTATGGAAGATGTTGGCATTGCTGCTAAATTTGTATCCGAATTAAAGACTGATGAACAAATAGAATCTGAATCCCGCCGATCACCAACACCTGTTCCGCCACCGGATTACAACGAGGAAACTATTTCGAAATCCGATGGGGTAACTCCAGCAAAATCGCATTTTGAATATGATCGTATTTATAGTGATTCTGATGAAGAGCGCGAGTATCAGGAGAAGAGACGTCGAAATACTGAATATATGGCTCAAATCGAGCGCGAATTTTTAGAAGAACAGCAGAAAAATTCACATCAACCAGACAATACATCAAACATGGATCTCAAGTTAGAGATTAATCAAATATCAACTTATGAAATGCCAGAAACACCCGATATTTCAAAAATTCCTCCCACACCAGGTGCAAAATTATTAGTGCAAGAATTAACACTGTTCAAGAAAGATATCCCAGATACTAATGCTGAATCCAAACCCTATTTGATCACAGTAAATACTGAAGCTGTTCCAAAAACTACTAGTATTCAGACGAATGAGAATGAAGGGATAATTGTTTTAAAAACTGAAAGCAATTTAAAAACGGAAGCTTATGACACAGCTCAATCTAGCAGTCAACCAAATGAAAATACCCGAATATATAACGGAAAGCAATCACCTGTTTCTTCAGACAGTGGATCAAGTCAAGCATCTCAAGCTAGTCAAGTGGCCTTAGAACATTGTTATTCTTTGCCACCACAAGCACAAGGTGCCTTTTCTACCGGTGTTTCAACAAGCCAATTTGAATGCAAAAATAAGAAAGATGCCGATAACATGCATATTGTAAGGCCTGGTCCTGGAAGGCCGCGCAAAGATTCTGTGCGTGCCCAAAAGAAAAAAAAAGATTTTTCAGGACGACAGGCAAATAAGAAAAATAAAATAGAATCAATGAAAGACACGCTTTCCGAACTGGTCCGACAAACTGCAAACTTTGTTCCGTGTGAAATGTTTAAAACCCGTGATCAAAACGAAGAAATGGTAATTTTATACACATTCCTAACAAAAGGCATCGATTTGGAGGACATTAAGTACATCAAGACGAGCTATACTGAGCATTTGCAAAAGGAACCATATGCGTGAGCAGACTAATTTTGTTGTAAAATTTAACATTTATTTTAACTTATTTTCAAATTTCAGTATGTTTTTGAACAATACTCACTGGGTTAATCACTGCACCACGGACAGGGCATTTTGGCCGCCTCCTCCCAAGAAACGGCGAAAAGACGAAGAACTAATGCGTCACAAAACCGGTTCCGCGCGTACTGAGGGCTTCTACAAGTTAGATGTACGGGAAAAAGCCAAACACAAATACCACCATGCTAAAGCAAACATACATGACACTCAAGACGAAGATCGGTGCGACGAGCCAACGGTGCTGACGAACCATCACCACAATAAGTTAATATCCAAAATGCAGGGCATTTCTCGTGAAGCACGTTCGAATCAACGACGTCTATTAACTGCCTTCGGTTCAATGGGAGAGTCTGAGCTCTTAAAATTCAATCAACTGAAATTTCGAAAAAAACAGCTTAAATTTGCAAAGTCGGCAATCCATGATTGGGGATTATTTGCCATGGAACCTATAGCGGCTGATGAAATGGTTATTGAATACGTTGGACAAATGATTCGACCAGTTGTTGCCGATTTAAGAGAAACCAAATATGAAGCAATTGGCATTGGCAGCTCATATTTATTCCGAATTGATATGGAAACTATTATCGATGCAACAAAATGTGGTAATTTGGCAAGATTTATAAATCACAGCTGTAATGTAAGTATGATATAGGTACAACAATTAAATCACTTCTTAATTTCCTCTTTTGATTGCAGCCAAACTGTTATGCCAAAGTCATTACCATAGAGTCAGAAAAAAAAATTGTTATTTATTCAAAGCAACCCATTGGAATTAATGAAGAAATAACTTATGACTACAAATTTCCATTAGAGGAAGAAAAAATCCCTTGCCTTTGTGGAGCACAAGGCTGTAGGGGTACGCTTAACTAAAGCAGAGAAACGTTGGCTTTACTGAAGATAAATGTTAATTATTGCTTTCAGTTTAAGAAACTATTACTGAGTTTAGAAGTACACAATATTATTTTATAAATTCTGTTACATTTAAATAGAACATTTTTTGTATCTTAAGTAATTTAAAAGTAAAAATGCAACCGAAAGATTTTATTTTGTAAGATTATCGTTCGTAATGTTTTTGGTTAATAAAGGCTATATTTTACAATAAGTATTTTTCAAAAAAAAAAATCGAATGCCTGTTTTTATATATTGCACTTTGAAAATATCTTATCAAGGATATGCAAAAACATTTTTCCGTGCCGATTTCGCAATTCAAGATGTCATTTTGATCAAGTTTTAACAATTAGAATTCAGAAATTACAAAATATTTATTTTTATATTTATCGTGGTTTGTATATAAATATAAGTCTACTAATTAATACATAAAGTGTAAAGTATTAGAATGTGAATAATCAAATGTGTATAAAGTTAAATAGCACAATAGCATGTAAAGTCTTTTCTTGTATGCATTAAAAATGTTCATGAAAATTGGGATCTGAATTCAAATTTCGTAAAACCTGTTCTCATTAAAATAGGTATTAAGGACGGAAAGACATCAAGTTTATCGAAAAAATAATTAGTAAGCATTTTTCTATGGTAGTCATTGATCAGATCTGGATATTTCGTTTTATTATGTGATTTAAAATGCAGCCACAATTTTATAATATGAGTTGAATAAAATGCATGCAATGGACAGTCAATATTATGACATCTACTTGGTTAAGTGGGATGAAAATATTGACTAAAATTTTTGATTAAAGTTCGTCAATATCAGAACTCTGAAAACTTGCCGTTTCGCGAATTTACTACCTTCGCAATGAAGTTATTATATCTGCCATGGTCCAATCTTGAAGTGGAGAGATTGTTCAGCCAAGTGAATATTGAATTGTTTTTAATAAAACGATTTCATTAAACTTAATATAACATTTATGCTGTTATAAAATGTTTTGAATTTTTTAAATTTTATTTTTTTAAGCCCTTTTACTATTACTGACAATATGAAAAACGAAAACACTACTACATTAAAAACTTTTTGTTAACATTTTTTTGTAAAAAATTTGAATGCTTTTCGCATTTTTTTAAATTAATAAGATCTACATAAAATACATTAAAATATAAATATAACACAAAAATTCAACAAAGAAAAAAACATACCTTACCATTTAACCGATAATATAAATTAAACAATGTGTTTCTTTTTTTATTTTTTAATTATGTATCTCCATATATAAAACCGTATGTCCTGACTGACTGACTGACTGATTGGTCATTAACGCACAGCTTAAGCTGCAAGAGCTAGGAAAATATGGAAAAATCGAGAAAATCGTTTTATCGGGTTGAAATATCCCATAAGACATACCGACGATTGACCATCCAAATGTTACATGAGCTTTGTACAGTTTGAAAAGGATGCAGAAGCGCAACTCTAAAATAAGGGCAGCGCTGTGATATAGAGAGTGTGTGAAGAGAAGGAGTAGCTCGCAACAGATTAGCAATTCACTCAAAAATCGATATTAGACTAAATAGTTTTGGAAAAACGAAGCACGCTAAGCCCGGTCTATCTGGTTTCCCGAGAACGAACAATATACATACTTTATGAGGTCGGAGATGACTCCTATGCGGTACATATTTTGAGATAAAATTATAATACCCATTGCAAGGGTATAAAAACTTCACAAACATGAGAATAGTTAACATATGGCGTTTTATAATATATTTGGGCAGCAAGTTTGGGTTACTTATACAAATAATCAAAAAGCTATCCATACAAGAACGAACTTTTCGACCGATCGTTCTTATGGCAGCTCCATGATATAGATGTCCAATGTCGATTGTATATACATATGTGAAAAAATAAGATTAGTTTGTATATTCAACACATATTTACGGGGATGTCAACAGAACATTTATGTACTTCACAAATTTATTTTAAGAGTATTTGATTTTAAACATATAGAATAGTAAGAAGTAAAAAAATTGGTCTTTGATTTTGAACCTAAAAATATCAATCCTTAAAAATAAATATATATTTCATGAGCACAGTATAATTAGTATTTGGATATTTAACGCGTTCCGTCAGAGCGCTTTAAGTAAAATAAATTGTAACTAGAATAAACAATCAGTACAAGCTATATTCATGCAAGCGATTTATTGTGAACTTGATTTTAATGTTATTTGCATATCCAATTGTGCTTGAGCAATGTCCCCCAAAGCAGACTGGATTTTTTCCAGCAAAAGTTCTCCTTTCTGGACAACTTGTTCAAGTTGCTCAGCAGTTTCTTGGTTTTCAAACTCTAGTCGCTTAAGACTACAATTTTGTAATTCAATGGAACTGTCTTCATTAGGCAAAGACTCAATTAAAGTATCAATGTCTTTAGCACATCGAGCTATTAATTGTGCAAAAAGCTGAGCATAATCCTCCTGAGGTGGGTTTTGTATGGGTGTCTGTGAGCCTGTCCTGTCAAAATTTGCAAACTTGCTGGGGTAAGATGTCTGCTGAATGACACCAATAGCATTGCAGAAGTGTTCTGCTTGCTAAAACAATCACAATATTATTAGCTTCACACAAAATATTGTTACTCAATAGGCGCATACTTGGTTTACGGTATCCTGCAGTTGCGTTAGCCTGTCTGCCATAACTAAGTTATATGTTTTAATCCTTCTTATAAATTTTCTTTAATTTCTACTGTTAAAGACTATAAGGCAAATAGTTGGTTTGGAGATGGTAGCTACTTTTGTTGTTCGATGATATCGATTATTACCAAATTTTTGGTTCTCAATGCGGTCTGAAATGCCTATTCGAGATGTATACTATCGATTGCATTTATATATTAATATATCGTTTTAGTCACCATAAATAACGTTAAAATGAGTCGGCGGTGATATCTATTAATGCCTTTTTTGCAGGATTTCCATTTGCTTAAATATAAGCAGTTAAACATTGTCGATAACGCACCGATTTTCGAGTGCCATACAGCAACGATACTACAGCACGATGAATATCCGATGGTTTTGAGCTATCGTCAACGGTTCGAGATGAGCGAATGACTGTTGCTAACTATCGACGACGAGTCATTATAAATATCGAAATTTGATTTGGGGGAGGCTTTAAGTATTTAAAATGTAAACTGTTTGCAGATACAATATTTTGTATTCAATATTAAAAAATAAAAATTTTAATGAAGCTTAAATATTTTGTTATCAAATATAATTTATTTATTAAATAACCCGGGCTAAGGTTTTGTTAAGCTGCTTTTTATATAGTTTTCTTTTTCCACCACAGTAAAAGGTAATTCATTTTAATAATATTTAATCACATTGTTTTTTATTTTGTTTTTATTTTTAGAATTAAAAAAGAGTAAGAACACAACTAATTTAATAATTTCAAATAAAGGCTAAGAGTAAAACTATTTGTACAAGACCTCAGCCAATAGCAAGAATCCTATAACCATCTCGGCCTTCCGAGATAAGTCCCATCATTTCCATTTTCAAGACAACGGGCTTCCAGAGTCCGCACTTTTTATGCGTCACAGGATGCAAGCGCGTTGATCACAACTAAAATAAATATTGAAATTGTCAGTTTGCAGATTGCTATGTGGCTTTCATAAAACTTGCACGTGCGTTTTTTCAATATTTAATTTCAAATTCTACGAATAAGTTAACGGAACACATTACATTATTTTTAAGGGCTCTCCTTGGTATTAGTGCAATGGGCAACATTAATTATTTTGAATTAAAGGAAATAACGAATTATGAGTACTTACCGATAATTCTTGCTCTTCGTGGAGCGATCTGCAAAGGAGGCTGGGCAAATCTTTCAATTATTAAGTCTGGCAATCGACTGTGTGTTCATCTGCCGTACCAGCTGATGGGTCTAAACAAAACAACGACTACAATTTCCGCAGAGTGCAAAAAGATTCAATGTACTCGCTGTCGTGAATAAAACTATTTTCTCTACTTTTCTATTTAGGCATAGGATTATAGGCTTTTAGCACTTAATTTTTATAATTTAATGTATTGAATAATTAGGAAGACACTCGTTTTTGTCGACCATTAATGAATAAATAAATAATACTATTGTATGGAAACCTTATTATACCCTTTTAGAGAGTATTATGTTTTTGTCATGAAACATGGAACGCATAGAAGGAGACATCTCCGACTCCATAAAGTGTATGTATTCTGGATCAACATCAACAGCCGAGTTGATATAGCCAAGCCTTTCTGTTTGTGTGCCTGATTTTATGCGAACTAGTCTTTTAGTTTTGTAGAGGTCTTTCTTTCTGTTGCAGGCAGTTTACATTTCGGAATCGGCCTGATCGGACCACTATACCATATAGTTGCCCTAAGAACGATCTAGATATCGAACCCAAACTTGGCATATATAATTTTCACGATGCTTCCTACATACAGGAGTCAAAATATTATTAACGTCGGACCACAATATCATATAGCATATAGCTTTGGAAACGATCGATTGAAAATAAGTTTCTTGAATGGCAATCGCAGCATTTACGAGCTTCACTAAACTCATGTATTTACAGGGTATGATATCTTCGGCGTGTCCAAGATACCCTTACTCCCTCGCTATAAATTTAAAAGTAATGCCAAAAGTTTTAAGAATCAAATGAGCCAGCCCATTCCACAATACCATTATTGCATAACTTTCTGGCACTTCTGGTATTAAACACATATGAATGTGCTGTGCATTCGAATTACATAAGATTTAGTGGACACGCCGCACTAGCTATGTCATTTGAAACGAAACTTACTGCCGAATATGTCAGAAACGAATGTAAAATGTTACTTAAGCTTACCACTTCTGGAAACGGAAAAACAGGGTATAAGCATAGAGTTGTGGTTCCTTGGGATCTGAACCATGACCACTCTCAACATACTCCAATGCGGCACAATGCGCCTTAAAACTTACATAGGTGAAGATCAAGACAACATAAAACATAAACCCGTTTCTTGGAGCATACTCAGTCAACCGACGCTCTTCAGTCGTTAAAAATTTCTCCAAACCAGTTAAGCAACTCAAAGAGCCGAAAATGTGACTGAAATCCGCATGCTCGGCCTCGAGCTTAATCAGTATTGGTTTAAAGCTGCTGAGCAATACACGAAATTCGTGTGTAAGAAGTGATAACTCTGCGGCTGCTTTGTGTGCGACAAAGAAGTGAAAGGCCCATTTTTGTTTACAGCCACAAATTTGCGATCTACATAGGCGAATAGAATTGCGGCGAGAGAGTAAAGTGACATCGTATCAAATTTTATACCACAACTTGCTATGAAATTTGGTAACCAAAACAGAAATAACCTACAAGTGAGTAACTTATTTTGAAGATGTACAAACTATGTATGTATGTATATGTACATCTGTACATCTGTACATCTGTTCATATGCATGAATCTATATGTTTCTATATACATATGAGCGAATGCTAACACATTTTTGTGTAGAGTTGTGCATGAAAACATATAAAAAAGTTTTATGTAATCTGTATAGGTGAAAGTTAGACAATGAAAGCAAATAAAATGATATGTGCGTGCATCTGCATACATATATAAGGTGGTAATCATACTATTCATATACATATTTTACCAATATAAAAAGATCTCTGTATTCTGCATGTACATATATTTATATATTTTCATTTTAAATTTTCATCAAATAATACAAAATTAATTCGCTTGGCAAATTTACAAAAATAATTTTAAATTTGTACTGCATATTCAGGAAGAGCTTGTTCGTCTTTTAAGACTGGTTCTTAGCCTGTCGAAAAAATATATATATATTTTATTTTATTTTAAACCAGTTCTTTTGTACATAATATGTGTAGAGAGATAAAAATAAAATTTTATGACGATCGATTAACGAATAAACAAAAAACCAACTGAGAGGTTGGTACATACAAAAATAAAATATAAAAGTATATGTGTTTTATAAAAATATCGTTTTGAATATTTTATTCATTAAAGAGAAATCTTCTATTATCGACCTGCTATTAACTGTGACCCACGCACGGTCCAAACGTGAAGCTAATCATTGACTGATGCTTCCTTTTGGGTTGATAGGGAAAACTAAGACGGGGGTTTGGAAAGTTGAACTTGTAAACGGCGTACAGAATTTGTATGAAAAACATCAAAAACAACAGAGACATATAATTGTATTTTGGGCGCCAGACTTAAAGGCGACATAAATTCGGCGGCAAGTTGACAATTTTTATATTTACTTGCTCACATGTTTGTTATTCTTAAAGGAAAACAAATTAGAATGCATAAACACAGCAATATACATTGACAAATTATTGGGAGCTAACTAAAAACAATTTAATTTACTAAAATAACTTTTTTGGCGGGCCTCAATCAAAAATCATTGGCACTTACGAATAAATGAGTAAGAAATTGTTTTCTCATAAAATATATGATTTATATTTAATTTATTGTCAAACGGAAGAGTTTTCTTTTGTGCAATTGAAACAAGAGGAACTCGATATGAACAACGAGAACATTAATATGTTTAGAAGCTAGCGTTTACTTAGTTTGTTGAGTGGATCGTAACCGGGACAATGGGCTGTTAATGTGGCAGGACTCCTCCATGTGGATAGCCTGAGGAAGTACTAATGACAGTTTTTATGCTTCTAATTTTTTTTTTGTAATCGATTGAAAACTTCCAATTTTTAATTATTAAAATTTGAATAAGTAAAGCAATATGATTGGGAACATTATTTATTTGACCCCGGCGGCGTCGGGTTGCTTTTTCTTGGCGTGTAATCAATTTGTGGTTAATTTTTACTTCTTCGTGCGGGAGGATGGGTCGATGGAACGCGTGATTCCATATATGCGTGGTGAAAGTTTTACCGTCCTAACTAAAACGCAATCGGAGAACGGTGCGTCGACAGATGCTTAAACAAAAAAAAAATTGTATTTTATACAAAAATGTTTTAGAATTTAAGCTGTTTATCTGATCTGATCTCATAAATTAATTTTCAAGTTTATTTTTCAGGGAATGTCATGGCGAGAAGCTGGGTTTAGAAAAAGCGAAATCAAGCCCGAATCACGAACTTTTCTTATCTTGTGCCTAGTTGTCTCCTGTTTTATTCATTACGGCGATGCGCATGGAAGACTTATCGAACCCCCAAGTAGGGCATCGGCTTGGCGTTATGGATTTCAAACTCCGCCAGACTACAATGATCATGAACTCTATTGCGGTGGCTTCACTCGACAGTGGAAGCATAATGGAGGAAAATGTGGGGAGTGTGGTGATGCTTGGGACTTGCCTGAGCCACGCCCACATGAACATGGTGGCCAATGGGGGCAGGGTGTTGTTGTTCGAAGCTATTTGCCGAGCTCCGAAATCATAATTCGTGTAGAGTTGACTGCCAGTCATATGGGGTAAGAAAACTCTAGTAAACAAATAAGAAGGCTTATCGGTTAAAAGATTTTCTTCACAGGTACTTTGAGTTCAGGTTGTGCCCGAAGCCAAGTGCTAAGCAGTCTTGCCTTGATCAAAACGTGTTGCATATAATAAGCGGTTCGCCCTCGCAGCGTAGCCCAGCAGACTTGGACAGTAGATTCTATCCCCGTAATGGTAGTCGCATTTATGAAATCAAAGCGCAATTGCCTGGTAAGTTTTTTGTAAACGTGTTTTTTTTATTCACTGTTTCCATATTTATTTGTTTCTATATTTGCAGACCTATTATGCAATCAATGCGTGCTACAGTGGCGCTATATAGCCGGAAATAATTGGGGCCTATGTGACGATGGAAATGGTGCAGTTGGTTGTGGTCCTCAGGAGGAGTTTCGGTCATGTTCGGATATCGCATTAACAAAAGATGCGCGTCTGCCGAATCGTCCTGTTCGACCTATACACCGCATTACTACACCTGCTACAATTCCTAAGAATGATCAAGTTGAAGTGAATAACAAACAGTTCACTTCGTTAATATTCTTGATCGGCTTTATTTTATTACTGCTGATATCTGGCTTAGTAATTAGTAGTGTATACATATTCCTTAAGCCTGCTAAGCTAATTGAATGGAGGGATTTGTTCCTCAAAAAATTCTGTCAGAAGCAGAAAAAAGCACCTTTAGTTAACCTATCACAGAGCAAGCCCGTCATGTCTCTTGGGACTATTGAAAAGTGCGAAGACAACAGCAATACCAGTCAATTGCCAAGTCTGCTGAATACAGCGCCGATTCCCCCACCTAGAACAAAACGAGACATGCGTATTAAGGAAATATCCATTATATCCTAAGAATTGTTCCTCTCTGTAAATTGGTATGGGCTAAAATGATTGCTCCCTGAACCCAACCCATTAGTATTCTTTGCATTTCTTAACTATATTATTGTAAACACAAAACTGATTACTTTAATATTATTTTTATCAATGATGTATGCGCATATGACTAGTATGGCTTACAATTTAGATTAACTAAAGTGTTTACAGTCGACTGCGTTGTTTTAACATAGATATTTAAGATAAATAATTTTTTGTGATACCAATGTATGTAACCGTTTCCAATATTCAAAAAATAGTTTTTGTCTAGTAAAAAGTTGCCTAACTTGTACATTTTGAATTCTAACATTTTGAATTCTAAAATGTTCATGTTGCCAATTTTGCTTAGAATTGGCGCATGATATAGACTTACTATTTGCAAAATGTGTACTGATTCATTTATTTTCGACAAAATAGCTATATATGCGAGATTTTGCTCAGTTTACATTTCAACAACTCTCACAATACAGAGGAATATATAATTTTTTTTTCTGCTGATTGCCGACCAATAAATTATTTAAAACGATATTACTCTTTCACCTTACTTTCGATCGAAAAATTTTTGATATACCGATATTTCGACCTATCTGTGAAATTTACGATTTTTTTCTGATGCATACTTTATAAGTTGTATATGAAATAATTTGAAGAATGTTTTGGAAACATTTAGAAAAAATACTTTTTTGTCAAGGTATTTTATTTGCTTTGTTACGAAAAGGGAAAAAATAGAATTGCTCTGTGGCTGCGATCAGCATTACTTTTAAGCCAAAAATAGATGCCTGCATACATTAGGAAATTATGGAATATGAAGATGTTTCAACAAAAACATTTTGGAAGGCTTTCTACAAAAGAAAACAGCATGGGTCTACAGTCTAACAATAAGATCAATATCAAGACAGTATTTTTCTTTCTTGCGGTGAACTATTTTTTCTAATTTTTTTGCGTTATTAAAGGTGACTTCATATATGTATGTATGCAACCATAACTTGAGTAAATCTTAACCGATTTTAACAATCGCAACGCTTGTAAAATTTCGAGTAACAAATAGGTTACAATAATTTTGAACTATGGTTAAAAAGGTATTACAAAAATGTTTTTTTTTTTACTTCTTTTTTAAAATTAGGAACAACCTATATTTCATTAAAATACATTTAATATAAGTCGACAAAGTTGTACACTTCCAAGCCAAAATGTTAAAGATTCATGTCTTTCATTGACTTTGCTGTTATGAGCTCGACCATATTTACAGTCTGCGAATTCACGGCTATAACTTATCCTAATTATAGCTCCCTTAAACCTAACAAAATGCTATATATTACCATTATTATAGAGTATTAAAAAGTAATAGTAATAGATTGCATGTTGTTAGGTTTTTGGGAGCCACATCACTACTAGTAGTGGAAATACCTCCATCAATTTATATGCCTTTTCTTGTACAATAACAACACCCTGTGTAAGAGTATAATGTACGAAATGACTAGTTGCTAGTTTCTTTCATTAGTCAAGTGTCAGTATTGGTTCTCGGCAGACGTGTGTTCTGCGCGACTCGACGTAAAACGCGTGCATTTATATCTGCACATACAGACATATGTATATGGAAAAACTATTTATATCTTACGAATTGTAAAAAAAACCAACAAGTTTTGAAACAATTTTATTCAATGGCGTCGGTGTATGAAAAACCATCTGTTCCCTTGAGCGGAATTGTGCAAACTGCTGAACAGCTCGATAATTCAGATACAGATCAAGATAATATTCCATACCATGCCCGTGAGAATGCACTTCCATTCACATACGGTAACGTCCCAGAAGGTTTTGATACGAGCGATTTAAACCATGTCGACGGAAATGTGTGCATCGATGCACTGGAAACAAAAATGGTTGAAAACAAAAATCCCGAAGCCCGTTCGTATACAATTCGAAAAACCGTTCGACCCAGTATTTCTGCATCGTGTCCATTGGTACGAAAGACACCCTCCCGGCAAGAGTTTGAACATATGCTAATGGAACGTAAGGGGCATGCGGTACACTCAGACAGAGACTTTTCGATAAAGTTAGCACACGATGAGACAATTCAGAAAGATTTGGATGAGCTTCAAAAAAGGCTAAACAGGCCTTATCTTGACATCAAAGAACCGAAAGAAACACAGGTTGGGTCCATGGAGCTATCTGATGCTGAATCAGGTTCTTCAACCCAACAAATGAATCCACAATTACAATTGGTGGAAAATAAGCGGTCGAAGACGCCCACCTTTCCATTTGTTCAAAGACCATTTAATTCTGAGCGCTGTGTCAGTCCATATCCAACACCCAATATATCGAGTACTCCAATGGTTAACGATAATTCTGCATCAGAGCAAGACAATCGGAATCTTCGGCATATCGGTGGTATCAGTCTTACCAAAGAAGTTGAGCCGCGTTTGGTTAAATTTGCAAAAGACTCCTCACAGTTTTGGTATAAGCCCAACATGAGTCGTGAAGAAGCGGTTGATTTATTACGCGATGCAGTACCCGGAACATTTCTTATTCGTAACTCAACTACCTACCGAAATGCATTTGGCTTGGTCTTACGCGTAGCTAAGCCACCTTCCGGCATGGTGACAGGACCAGAATATGGAGATCAACTGGTCCGCCATTTTCTCATAGAACCTACAACTCGTGGTGTCCGCCTTATGGGATGTACCAATGAACCTATATTTACGTCTTTGTCTGCCTTCGTATATGAGCATTCGATTAACCAAATGTCTTTAGCTTGCACTCTCAAAATACCAGATAAGGATCTGCTGCTTATCTCAAATAACGAAGAACTCATCTTAAAACAAAAACAAATGCTTGCACAGGGTGCCGCATGCAATGTGCTCTACTTGTTTCAGGGCGATATGGAATCCCTAACCGGTGACGATGCAGTTCGAAAGGCGGTGCTTGAAATGAACTCAGAGCCTGCGCGAGTAGTTCCCTTAGAGGTTCACTTAAAGATATCAGAACAGGGAATTACCTTAACTGACAACACACGTACAAAGTTTTTCCGACGGCACTATCCATCAAAGAATATTTCGCACCTGTGTATGGATCCTGGCAATCACTTTTGGAGTGTCCCAGCAGCTAACAAAGGATTGGAGCACTCAATCAAAAAATCAATATTTGCGTTTATAGCACGCCCCTTGACCGGCTCAAAAGACAACCAATGTCACATATTTTGTGATATATCCCCCATGCAACCAGCTTCCGCTATAGTTTCATTTGCCCACAAAGTTCTACCACTTGACAATTCAAATTGTAAAATGTTATGAATTCTAATAAGCTGTATTCGGTTTTAAAATAGTAATGTTGTGTTCAGATATCTTACTCAACAGCCGAGCCGCTCAAGCCATTCGTCTGTAAACAATCTATAAAAGCTCGAGATATTTTTATCAATTCAAAAATAGTTATAACAAGAAAAAAATTAAAGTTAATCAATTAAATAAATAAATGCTAGCTAATATTTCCCGAGCTTGCCTCGCCAAAAGTTTTGGTTTTCAACTTCAGTCACTGAAACACTTATCCATTAAGTTTTTATGTATAGATTTTAAAATAAATTTGAAACCGATCGAACTGTACTTAAAACACTGCCCATACAAACTTTGACTTACATTTTCCACCCAGGCAGGATGGAATTTTCGAAAAGAGTGAATTATTAAATTTATTTATTTATTATTAAATTATTTTATTTATTTAAATAACTTTTGAAATGAGCTGAAACTTTGTCCATTAAAGCATTCAACCCATGGCCCACATCTAAGATAGGTGGATTTTGCGAAAAGTTGATAAAAATGTATTTTCGTAAACAGTTTGCCAGCAATTTAGCATAGTTGCATAAGCAATTTCCAAAATTCGCTGGCATACGTTTTCATTAAATTCTTATGTAAGGCTTTATAAAATACTTGAATCCAAACGGATGAAATATAAAATTTTTACCAGCAGAATTCCGGAATCATTTTTATTAAGAGGAAATTTCTTAGGCTTTGAGTGCTGAAGCCGCAAACGTTGTTATTTCGATTCAAAATTAGTAGACACGGGCAAAACACTATGAGCATTATGAGAAGGTTGGGTCTGCAAGGGTATAACATCTTCGGCGTGCCGAAGATAACCCTTCTTTCTCGTTTTTTTATAAATTTGTTTTTATTACAACTAAAGCAAACGAGCGCCTAGCGCGAGCTGCATTTGGTGCTTGAATAGCAAGGTTCAGGGTATCCCCTAGTTGGGAAGTCCCGACTAGAGCCTCTTAATTGTTGTTTGGTTTTTGATTTAATTTTCGGTATGCATGTTTATATAGTTTTAATTTGTTTATAACGATGCTACTTTATATTCCTTTACCAATTAAATCTGTAACAACAAGTGTGAAGCTAAGGAAAGTGGGGCGTAGCGCGAGCTGCCTTTGGTGTTGGGGAAAGAAACGTTTTGGTTTCCTCTAGTGACATGTTTAAGCTATTATTGCACTATGAAAACATTTTTCTGTTTTTACTTTTTAAGAGGTCGTGCTAAAATTTTTGTAGTCGTGACGCAGTCATGCAAACACAAGACAAACAAAAAAACAGACATTTGCACTGCAATTTAATGCCCCCGATGAATATTTATTTAAGTTTTCCAAAAAAAAAAGTTTTTTTCAGTTTTCCTATTTCCAAAATAATACTTGACTTACTCACTAAACTCGGCCGAAGAACCTGTTATTCCTGATATTAATTTCTTAGTAAATTTACGTAACTCCAAGGGATCCTCGTTGTTAAAATCATCCATTACCAATTGCATTTGCTCCTTTAGTCCATCGGCAATGGATGTTGTGATTCGATCTTTGAAGAGGTTTGTTATAGGACTTAGAATAAATCCTGTAAACTCTCGAATTAAACGAGTTTGATCCAATTGTACATGAATATTGCTATTATGGGAAATAGGCGTATTATTAAATATATGTTTTTCTGATTTATTACGGCACCTGAATTCAATTATGCGAAAGTCGTGAAGATGAAGCTTTGAATTAATTACATTGACAGCGAGCTCAGCATAAATGATCGTGTCATCTAATGAGCCAATCACTTTTCCATATCCCTCAATTGCCATTAACTTTAGCAAAAAGTTATATTCAAACTATAAAGAAGAATATATTTTACAAATTTATTATTATTACATATAATTTGTATACATTTAAATGCATTAATTCATTCATAGATATATTCATATTCTATATCTTTGGCATGGTATAAAGGCGAGATGGGAAAACCGTCACCATATTAATGAAGGCAATTCGTAATATGAAAATATTATTTATTCATAAAATGAGATTAAAAAATAGTAAAAATATATGATTTCATTGATTATTATTCCTGATAAAGAAGACGAGCTGAGTCAATCAAGCCATGATCAAGTATGATTAATAATATCACACGATCAAACACTATAAAAGCTAAAGATTTCAAATTTTGAATAGATCTGCCGGTTTTCAAAGATAAATGTTTTTAATCCTGGGCTTTACGAACTTGGAATATTTATGCACTTATAAATAGCTGATTGACTAAATCAAGTCTAAATCAGTTTTACGTATTATCTAATAATATTTTTTTAAATTTAAACGATGTGGAGGTGTATATAATACATACATTTTTTTTTAATTCTTGCTGTGCGTACCTGAAGTTTATTAATTTTTAAATAAAATTTGCTCAAGAACGATTTTCCCTCATATGTCATATAGGCATTGTTGTGTCTTTGTATTCCAGCAAGGTTGTAAACAATTCCGTTATTTAGATGAAGGCCAGCCTCGTAAGTGATGAAGAAAGGCTTCTTAAAAGTTTATTGATTTATATAAATTGGTAATATTAACGTTTAACTTAAATTAGACTTACAATAGAAATACTCTCTTTCATGTCTGGAAGCTCTAAATGTTCTATGCCCAGCTTTTGAAGATGGGAAAGCACCATGGGCGTCACCACGTCGACTTCGGCATCGATATTGGTCCAGCCGACATCTTCCTTTTCAAAACTGCTCTTTGGCATGGCATCATCCCCTGCATCACGACGAACACTTTAAGAAGAAGTAAAGCTCTCGGTGGGGATATATAGTTTTAGATTAAGGTGTAAATGAATGAAGAAGTAAGAGTACTGCTACCCTGAACCCAGCGCCGACCTGCCATTTATAAGCATCTTTGCTTTCTTCATACATATACATATGCATACTGCTTCGCAGTCCTGCAGTCTTGAATTAATTTTCTTAAAGATCTTTACTAATGAGCCTACATATAATACTACACCCCTTTAACGTTTTAAACGAATTTATCATCCAAGAAGGGTGAAATATGCGAAATGTTTGAAACACACTTTAGATAAGTTTTCGCAAATATCAAAGACCGTAGTAGCTAGAAAAGTTTGCAATTTTTTTTCTCCAATGTAACGTTTACGATGTCGTCTGCAAAGCCTACTATGCTGTAACCAGGTGGTAGGGCAAGTCAGAGTCAAAGTTAAAGGCGTTATTTTACATCTAGCGTTGTCACAAGGCAGTATTTTTTAGCCCCGTCACGCATTCGCGGTTCTTCCTGAATACTGAAACCCCGTCTTAATGTGCATGAGGCAACTGCAGTGAAAATTTCAGCTTCCTACCTCTCACGGGTTGGGCTATGCGTTGATCACCAATCAGTCAGTCAATAAGTCAGTCAGTCAGGAGGAAGACAGCATCTCCGACCCCATACAGTATATATATTCTTGATCAGCATCAATATCCGAGTCGATCTAGCCATGTCCGTATGTCCGTCCGTCTGTCCGTATGTATGAGCGCAAGGATATCCGCTAAAAAATTTGATCAAGATCAGATAAGAAACAGAAAAGGAAATGTGTTTTTGAAACGTGTTTGCTGCAGCTTGCGCAAATTCCAAGAATTTCTGTATACATGTACACATGCACATTCATGCGCGTCTCCTTCGAATTCTATTAGCAGCATTGCAATTGCGATTGTATGTTTTCTATGCGTACAGGCAACATAATTAATTTTTTTTTAATATTTGATAATCGTATTTGTAAGAAATGCAATAATTAAAAACCTTTGGAACATTAAGAGGAACGTTAAGTTGTTAATTGAGTACATTTTGCTAAGGCAAAGAATACATAATTATACATATTTTTAAACCAAGAAATTTATTAAATATTTAAGCTTTACGATACCGACCAAATATTAATTTGACTGAAAAGGTGCCTATCCAATTAATGTACATTTATAATTACCTGCTTAAATCCCGCTGCACTCTGCCGTTTGCAGTAAACACGAGGAATAATATTCCAATTAAGTATAATGCCATTTTAACTCTAGACACATACATAGTATCTAGATAACATATATAAATCTAAGGAAAATTTAAGTTTGTGTATGCAAATAGATTTGTTTTCTTGTATTATCGAATTTGAGATCTATTGCTTAGGGGTTTTAACGTTAATATGGAATAGTAAATCAGTCCTTATATCAGATTATGTTTAAATTCGACTTTAGTGATCATATTTGTAAATAGATTATTAAAAATCCCATACGATGTATCATTATTTTTTTAGTTCTAAACAGGTTCTAAACAACTCGAAACCGGAAAAATCCAATTTATATATATTCTGATATGTCATTATTATTAAGTAGAGTGTCGTGCACTACGACCTGGACCTGACAGTACGTATAAAATAAAAAAAAATCCATTTAAACAGTATGCAAATTGTACAAGATTATATTTTAGGTATATTTACATACACATACATATTTCAGTATCGTAGCAAGGACAATTTACAAATAAAAAGAAAATAAACGTTTGAAATACGTACATATATCACACACTTTATTATTTTGTACTAAATCATTTCGATAAAAAAAAGGAAAACGAATGCATATAGTATATGTACATATATGTGTGCACTTTTATTGTGTGTACATTCGAGTACTAACGTTCACTGTTTAAATAAACACTTAATTGATTCATTTGCATTCTATACACGAATTAAATATACTCATAACTGAAGCTGTTGCGTATTAATGCACAGTTGAACGTATATGAGCACATACAAATTATTATATATCTACGATACACTCATATATGAATTTAAGCCAACAAATTTACCCATGTCCATATACTTAAGAACTATTTGATAATAGCATGTTTTTAGTAAAATGAATAGTATTCGGCACAAAGTATATCACTTTAGCATATGCATACCGCGCACAGAGGCCCTAGTATGTTGAAGTTAATTACTTGCTTCCTATTCAGTTATTACTGCGAAGCGTTTATAAGTTTCAGCGAGCCGAGATCTAAAACCACACTTGACGCATTCGTGAGAGCGGTTGAAACGAAACTACTGCCGAGAGAAAAAAAAACGACAAAGCCTCGCCCAATTATTTATTGGAATCCAGCCTTGATCTTGCGGAGCTTTTGACTCGTGCTTTGTTAAGTAAAGCTTGCCCATTCATTTGTACATGTAAGCTTATAGATTTTGCAAAGTAGTTTGCATACCCTGTAATACGAAAATGGGTAACATTAAGTTTTACCACTAACCAAACAACATCATATGGAAGAGAGTAAGCCAAAGCAGTTTCCTGTGGCGTAAGCGAATAAAATGACATCATATAGATATCATATCATATATCTTGCTCTCTTGCTCGCGATTTTGGACCAGATGTCTTCGAATTCTTTTTGCCCACAATGGTTGTTCAGCATGTCCAGTCTATATTTTGCTACTGGTTTTACAAATGCATATGCTAGAGACAGGAAACGTCTTTGTCCTTAATGTCTCAGAAACTTGCACAAAAATACAATTTTATATAAGGTGTAAGAAATGAGAATTGGGATTAACATGCCAAGCAAGGGTAATGCTATCTTAGCCGAAATCCATATTACCCAGCTCTATAATTAACAAGAGGCTCCCGACTAGATGATACTCTGAACCCTCTTTTACCAACACCAAATGCAGCTTTTCCTTTTTCAGTTCCATAGACTTGGCTAAATCTACTCGACTCATAGTCCTACACAAGAACATATAAACTCGTTTTGCGTATGGTATAGAATATATATTTCCAATTTTAAGTCTCAAGCTTTTTAAGTTTCCGACATGGCTAAATCGAAATTATAGGGCTCGATATGGCTCCTTCTGCCTGCACATACATATAAAAATATAGATAGAAATTTGAAGAACAGACACTCTTGTTTTGTCTATGGGGAATACTAAACAATATACAAAAATCGGAACAGTAATCTCATTTTTTTTCTTATCAAGAACAAAATGTGTTGTATTGGTGCTAACCGTTTTACTCATTTTTATAAATATGCGAAAACCCAACAAGCATACTAGAGAACCAAAACGTTTATCACTTGTTAAGTTCGAAATTACGTTCTGCGTTCCTTTAAATTGTCGAAACAAAGGTTTCCCAAATTTACAATAAATCCTGGTATCATGCGATTACTGCAACTGCGACATAGGTCAACGTACATCAATTTTATACCTAATGCCTTTACGACTCATATTTTTGATGCTATAACACTCATGACTCAAATATAGCATTTAAAGATATAAGTTATAAAAAAAACTGATAGATTATGTCTTGTAAGCCTGCCAGCACATTTAATACTACACGATGTACTATATAAGAAGCTTTTTCCGATATCGTGTTTTATTATTGACTTGGTGCCGATTTAATAGTCGCTTGCTTGATTCAAGTTCATACAGGCAGCCCTCTGGATGAGAATAACTTAAAACAATTTAACGAATTCATAGTGTTGTTTAGTTGGCGCCTTGTGATATTGGGTCAATCTTCACATCGGGAAACTTAAATTCGGGAAATTTAAGCATATCGGTCTTTCCATCGCTGCCGTACTGCTTGGCAACACGCTCTAGCTCGTTTTTCAGTTCTCGCTCAATTTCAGGATTAGAGTCGACCAACTTGCCGCCCCTGAAAATAATAAATTATAAATATATGAAGATCGAATGCTCGTATTTTTATTAGCTACTTACGCGCTCTTTTGCTTATATTCGCGAACTTTGTCTAGGAACAGTTGCTGGATGGGATCGGATGCCTTGTTCAGAGCTGGTGCAACTATGGCAATGTTGCGACGTGCCTCAGTGCGTAGAACACGGACACCGGCTAAAATTGATTGCGACAGCATCTGTAATCCGATAAAATAGAATTAATCTTTTTTTGCGGTAGCAATTTGGTAACCTTAAAAGGTTATGTAATCCATTTTACATTTGCAGAGCTTATAGTTTCAAAATATGTATTAACAAGTTTGCATGTGCGGAGTGGTTTATTATTATTATTTCCTTTTTTTTTACTTTTCAAATCAATTTTATGCTTTTTATTACCATATTTTCCTTTTCAAATGCCTCTGTACACTGTATGTGTGGAAATTTGTCAACTGAATAACAGAGTGACAGTAAAATTTGAATATAAAAACGCCAAAGTTCAAAATTGGAATACTAAAATTCATACTTTAACAAAACTAAAATACTTAAAAAATACTGAAATATGTCTAGATCGCCATTCTATTAAGCAAGTTAACCCAAGATTTTATTTAATATAACAAATATATACTCTAAATACTTCATATCGCAATGCAAGCCAATTGAAGGTGTATTAAATTAAGCTAGAAAAAACTATAAATACAAGTAAAACCGTAAATACTTTTTTTGTCAGCCCACATAAGGAACGTCCAAATAAGTCGCATTTGCTCATCTCATAGCGATGAAAATAATTTAAAACTATCGGAAAGTCATTGTGAAGAAATATCGATAGTCTATCAACATCGATAGATTTTGTTTCTGATATCGCATATCGTTTGAAGCTCATTTTCCACGTCAAACGATTGCGAGCCGAAGAGAATAAGCGTTTCTATTTTATATTAGTTGAGTTAAGCTGAGTACAATCGAGATGGTGAGCTTGTTACAGGAAATTGACACAGAGCATGAGGACATGGTTCACCATGCTTCTCTGGATTTCTACGGACTGCTGCTAGCCACCTGTTCGTCAGACGGCAGCGTCCGAATTTTTCACTCACGTAAAAACAACAAGGCGCTTGCTGAACTTAAAGGACACCAGGGGCCAGTATGGCAAGTAGCATGGGCGCATCCTAAGTTTGGCAACATATTAGCATCGTGCTCTTATGATCGCAAAGTAATTATATGGAAATCGACTACACCCAGAGATTGGACTAAGATGTGAGTGTTATGTTTGTATGTACATATGTATTTATGCTAATGACGCTCTCGTTATCTAGTAAAGCCTAGTTTGCATATGTATGTTTCATCATTCATTTGCCTTATACTTCCTTCTTTGATTTGCCGCTTTTCAGATTTGAGTACAGCAATCACGATTCCTCAGTCAACTCCGTGGATTTTGCGCCGCCTGAATACGGTCTAGTTCTAGCGTGTGCCAGCTCAGATGGTTCAATTTCTGTATTGACATGCAACACGGAGTACGGTGTTTGGGATGCAAAAAAGATACCCAATGCACATACAATTGGAGTGAATGCTATTTCCTGGTGCCCGTCACAGGCACCGGATCCGGCTTTTGATCAGCGTGTCACTTCGCGCAATGCAGCAGTTAAACGTTTGGTTAGCGGTGGCTGCGATAATCTCGTCAAGGTTTGGCGTGATGATAACGATCGATGGATTGAAGAACACCGTCTCGAAGCACATTCAGATTGGGTTCGTGATGTGGCATGGGCACCATCAATTGGTTTGCCACGGTTGCAGATAGCCTCGGCCTCACAAGATCGGCATGTTATTATATGGAGCAGCAATGCTGATTTATCGCAGTGGACATCAAGTGTACTGCACACGTTCGACGATGCAGTATGGAGTATTTCCTGGTCCACCACCGGCAACGTTCTGGCCGTAACTGGTGGTGATAACAATGTTTCCTTGTGGAAAGAAAACAGTGAGGGTCAATGGATACGCATTAATTATGAATCAGGCATTGCCATTCAATCGAAACAGCCGCATAATTTACATAATCCCCAACAGCAACCGCAACAGCCATCAAATATACCACTGTCGTCGGACTCTGAACATAGCTCGAACTTATCAAATTCCAACTTGTCAAACTCGCAGCTGTCAAACTAAAAATGTTAAGTAGATCGTGGGTATGGCCCGATTCAATATAAAAATTATGGTCAATATATCTTGATAATGCGAACATATTTTAAATAGAGGAAATACAGTTTTTTTAAATGGTGAGCGTAACCTGACGTTTGGTCGATTTCCAGCATTCTTCACTGCTATAATCGCGTAAAGCGGTACGTTCCAAAATAAAGCAATTACTTTTTTTTTACATTCTTAAAGCTTAGCGGCTCTTAAGCTCTTGTTAAGGTGCCTTTATATTTTAAAATTATTAAAAATTCATTTAATTATGGAAGGCCCTAAATCAATAAAAAAAAAAAGTTGGTTTCATTAATCAAACGCGGTAACAATAAATTGAATTCTGATGCATAGTGTTATTGCCGACCAGGAAATGAACCATATCAACCACAAAGTTCTTGATACTTATGCCGGTTGAGGTAATTTCATTTTATTCATGAGGAAGGAACTTACGCATTTGTATAAACTGGAAACACGTGCCGCAATAAATGGAAGAAAACAAATTAACCAAATGTAATTTGGCGTATATTTTTTTACACGTATATATATATATATATATGTTTATATAATATATATATATATATATATATATATATAATATATATATATATATATATATATATATTTATACAAGCGGGCCTTGCTCGTGGCACGTATAAAATAAATGTTCTCAAAAAGCTTTGAAAATGTTTTTGAAACTGATCGGACGATAAACAAACAACTTCATACAAACGTTTTCCGCCAATTTACCACGTTTGCGGGTGGAATTTCCCAAATTGTTGAAACGCGTTTTAATTAAGTTTTTATGTAGAGCTTTGGAAATACTTTTGAAGCAAATCAGATACCACTTACAACTTCTCCCAAAAAAATCTTTGAATCGTATTTCTAACGAAGGAGTTTAAATTTTGCGAAAACTGTGAAACACGTCTCAAATTATTTTCCATATAGATCCTTGAAAATGAATTTGAGGGCGAAACGTCATCCATCAAATCTTTGACCCCCATTTCCACCAGGGAGGAATAAATTTTTGGAAACGTGTGAAACACCCCTCAAATGAATTTGAACAAAGAACTTTGAAATTGAGTTTGAGGCCGATCGGATGGTACGCTTAAAAGTTTCATATAAATGTTTTTCGCGATTTTTCCATACTTCCGGGTGGAATTATGCTGTTTGGTTGTATTGTTTTTATTGCTGTGTACATGTGCTGCTATTTTAATTGTTTTTCTTTTCAGTATCGATTTGTTGTTGGTTTGTCTGTTGAGTAGAGGCAGAGGCAAGTAGAAGTGGTATATTACTAAGTAGTTCGAATTTATTTTTATCACTAATAAAGCAAACGAGCGCGAAATACTGCTGCACATATAAATGCGCGGAATTTATCAACGTCCGACTAATATATCATATAGCTGTATCTACTATGTAATATATATCCTTTCAAAACAAATCCCTTAAGACCATAATTGAGCACAATTCTACAAGGTTCTTGAATCTTAGGTGTGCCGGTGTCATTAATTGCTTACAGTCCCAAGGTGACATTTTAATGGTTAAAACTGAAGCAATATTCTGATTGGCATGGTAATTGAATTTAAATAATTAAAATTAATCCAATCAAGTTTAGACCGGGTTTAATTTAAATTCTAATTAAAAATCAATCAATCAATCAATATAGCTTTTCAAGGCCTCAGAAAATTGATTTAGAACAGTGACAGTCACATGAATACAATTTCTCAATTCTCAAAAAAAGTTTAATCTACAAAGTGTTTTTAAATTGACTAGTAGTATTGATCATACAACTAGGAGAAAAGTTGGTGAGCTAGTTGTGACTGCACAAGCACCAATGTAAACAAGTAAGAGGTTCTAGTCGGGAGCTCCCGACTAGGGGATATCCTGAACCCTCTTCTTCCAACACCAAATGCAAATATGTATACTATTCTAGAAGCTACATGTTAAGTTTGGGGACTCTAGCTCTTATTATTTACCAAAATTGCCTAAAAAACAGGATGGAGGACCTATATCTAAAATTTCAAGTTTTTAGCTCTTATAGGTTCTGATATCCTTGCGTTCATACATACGGATGGACGGACGGACAGACAGACGGACATGGCTAGATCGACTCGGCTGCTGATCAAGAATATATATACTTTATGGGGTCGGAGATGCTTCCTTCTGCCTGTTATATATATTTACATTTTGCACAAATACAATATGCAATATATACCCATTATTAATGGGTTCAGGGTATTAAGAGAAGAAGAATCATAAACATACACTTTGAGAAATGTAGATGCAATTGATTGGCCGAACACTAACGTTGCATTGCGTTCAAATCAGCCTGTAGACGTGAGAAATGTAGGAGACTAGCGTATGAAATAATAAGTTTTACATCATTCGCATACATAACTACATGACCATGTGATATAACAGATAGGAGATTGTTTATTATAAAGGTCCAAGATGAACACATGTCTCAGCTTTACTCTTTGGGTCCTACCTTTTGTATAGGAAACTAATCCAAAGCTAAAGAGGCGGAGGCAAACCTAATCGGTTAAGTTTAAGAAGTAAAATATCATGGTGGACAGAGTCAGGCGCCTTACTGAAGTAAATGACATCAGTTTGCATTTTCGAAAGAAAAGCATCATTTACCAAGGAAGTAAATTCAAGCAGGTTGATCGTGGTTGACCGATTCTTTAAGAATTTATGTTCAACAGGGGAGACAACTGATTTGCAGGAATGTTGCAAAGTCCAAGTGATTAATTTTCCAAAAAATTTAGAGATAGCGGACAGTTTTGCATGCCCCTGTAATATTTCAGACTTTCCACTTTACTTGAGGAGAGGAATGTTATAAGATTCTTTCCAAAGAGATGGAAAGACGGAATATTCAAGGGATTTATTAAAAAGTTTTAACATTGGACGAAGAAAGGTAGAGCTACACTCCTTGAGTAGACAACTAGGCATATTGTCAGGCCCAGGAGGGTCAGCAGATTTAAAAGAATTTGGAGCAGAAAGGAAAAAGGAATGGGAAATAGTAGGAGTGTAAAAATTATTATTACGACAGAGAGCGGAGTAAGTTGATTGGAAAAAATAAGCAAAAAGGTTAGCAGTATCAGAAACATTGCTAGCTTTATTCATTCCAAGAGAAAAAGAAGATGGAAATTGGATGGATTGAAGATTTAAGTTTTGTACGAGTTTCTTATTTTCAAAGCTCTATATAAAAACTTAATGTTGAAACTTAATGAGTTTTATCGATTTGGGAAATTGCACCCACAACAGGGGTTAATTAGCGAAAAACGTTTGTATTAAAGTTATTTGTTTACCGTCCAATGAGTTTCAAAATCATTTTGAACCCGGCAAGGCCGGGTTATACCCGCTAGTAACATATGTTAGTTACTATGTTCTACGTCCTTCTTAATCGAATTTAAAAATATCAGCGCTATTTTGAAATTTCGTTATTATTATTATATCTGTCTGTTTTTGTTTGAGCTCTCTGAGCAGATTTTGGGGCTGTGCTTGTAGACTTTTTGTTGGGCGTTCTTAATTATAAGCATAACTACAGGTTGGGCCTCCCCGTATAGCTCTATGCGGTAAATTTTTATATGTGACTTAGGCGCTCAGCACTCACACTAATTGTAGACTAGTACGGGCCGTGCAACAGAAATGGGAGAACTGTGGTGATGTCATGGATGGCGTGCACCTGAGCCGTCATCAATATTACAGAGTCAACAACCAAGAAACCTAGGCATACCATGGGGCTCGTGGTACTGCATGAAACGTTCGCTTGCGGCCAAAACATACTTCGAAACGAGCTCGTTTCCCGTACTCAGCGTGCTTTAATCGCGCATTTCGTTCTTCACCATTATCCTTCTCACAGGACTAGGACCGAGCGCATTGCTTGAAATTGTTACAAGAGTTTTCTTAGTATGCGCCATTGATTTTTTCGTTTCTAATTTTCGAATTTTTGGGCTGTTTGTGTTTAGGTTCCTTTAGCACTTTCACTTTTGTATGCACGTACGCATTTGCATGTTTCTTGACATACTGGGTGCTCGGCTTTGAACTTTTATGTAAATTGTATAAATTTTATTTATCATATGTATGTCTGTATGTGTTGCTACCATATATATATATGTATATCCTGTACATCCACGCCAAATAAAGTGTTCTGATAATAAGTTTAGGCCCAATGGAGGCGTGGCGAATCTTTTTGAATTTCAGAGCTAGAACAACCTTTTTTGAAATATAGAATCTAAAAATCAATCGATAAATCGATATATCCGATTAAACGAGTAATCTGTTGTAAGCTGTTATTGGACTGTGTATTATACACCTCGAAAGAATTTGGGTACCCCCAGTAACATTTTCCATAGTGTAGAGGCAAAGGAAGGACGGACAGTGCGATTATCGATTTCAATATAAAAATGAAAGCTATCGATTTTCAAAAAAGATAAACTTGCCTTTAGCGTGCCTTAAGAGGACATAGGTCTTAATCTTAATCTTAATCGACACATTCATTGAAATATTAAAATATTGAAAATCGGCAGTATAGGCTACGGAATTGAGTCATTCGACTCATCGCCGGATATCCCTAGCTCGCCCGCAACTCCATCTACCACAGAGTCCTTAATGGACCTTCAATGGGTTGGTTCGGTTATTTGGTAGACCCTTTTGTGGATTCGGTTGCAAAAGGCATATACAATCAAATGCTTTATTATGTATTTCTTCGTCAAGTCAAGTAAAATGAAAAGAATCTGATCTATTTTTATTTTATATAAACTTAAAGGGCCTAAATAAAATAATATATTATTGCTGTGGGGTCTTATTTTGCTTATAATAAAAAATCTTCTAAGTCGTACTTTTGCAAAGGTAATTAATTGTCGGTTTTTCGAAGATTTCTTAAAAAGACCAAAAATTTAAAATCGTCGGTTTCAGTAAAAGAATTCACTGACCAAGCTTAGCTCTGAGCATGGGTGTAGCTCACCGGACTAAAATTCTCCCTGTAACGGGTCAGTGATTTTCCATTCCTATCCTCCATCATTAGCTCTTGCTTTTTAATTAATATATTTAAAAAGAGGCCGGCTGGACTGACAAATGAAGTCCCTCTTTGTGTCGGCGATGTTATTAGAAATTTTACTCTGTTTAGGCTTCTAACTCTTAATTTTTGTCTTACAAAATGAAATTATATTGAAAGGAGGGAAATGCCGATAAACTACGCAGGAATTATTCAATTTATTCCGTGCGCTTTCACATTTTGTACACTAGGCTTGTATATTTTTCACTATTTTGGTGTTTCCTTTTATGTTTAAAGGTCAAATGCCTCTACTGCGAACACGAATAATAAAGCGAAAAATCAAAAAACTGCCCACAGGCCTTGCTTAGTCTCCCCATGGAATATAAAACTCACTGGACCCTACACATATATACAATATCTATATGTATACATGCATATAGGCACAAGAGTGAGTAGGTTTGTATATTTGTTTGGTTCTTTGCAGTGCTAGGTTGGCCTTAAGGGTTGTGTACTATGAAATTTTCGCGATAAGGGCGTAAGAATAAAAGTATAAGACTTGCTCGTGGCGAGCTTTGAACTCCATTCCTATCTATTTGTAAATATGTTCAAATTCATGGCAAGTTTTGAGCTCCACTTCTATCTTAATATTATTAAGATCCGCCGAATAAAGACCCGTAAATTGGAATCAACGGAGTTGGAATCATCTAAAAGAGAAGGATATATTTTCAAAAACGACGAAACTTATAATTTCGAGTTGGATATTGCGAAAAGTGTGAAACGAATTTGTTATGTTTCAGGCAAATTAGACAAGTTTCAAACATCAATAAAAAAATCGCATTTTTCACCAAGGAAGCTTTAATTCTGCAACTGTGAAACAAGTTTCAAATGAATTTTCATAAAGATTCTAAGTAATCAATTTGAACCCGAAACACCACAGTCCAAATCTTTAACTCCCGTTTCCACCAAAGGGGTGGAAATGAGTTTGAACGAATTTAATTGAAAATGAGTGTGACGCAAAACAAACAATTTCGAAACAATTGTTAACCTCTATTTCGCATGCCTTATCTTGATATTGATCCGAATACGCTTACTTAATATGCATGTAGGAAACCGGAGCATTTGGAATACGGCTCTGGAACAGAGCATTCTGGGTATAGGTGCAATTAGACTTGACGATAATATGAAATTAAAGTACCCAAAATTAGCGTTCACTCAAGAGTTGATGTGGATGGGTTGGGTTCTGGTTTCACTGCGTAAATATGATGACCTCTTAGCATGCTCATGGCCAACTCCACAGATTTCGTGAGGAAATTATATACTCGCTCAGTTGGGCACTTTGCATTTGCTGGCTATGTCGCACTAATTAATCATCAGTTAAGAATAACATGGCAGCCAGATTGTGGACAAAGAAATGGTTCCTTAATTACTAGGCTCCACGTATAGCTGCAGCTATCCAATTTTGAATTTACTCCTTTTGTGTGGCTTTTGGCAAGTTCGTGCTTGTTCTGTATAATTTGCCTAGGATTTGCGCCAGAAAATTTATCAATAATGCCAAAAAGAAATATATATACATTTCATTTCACGAGAGAGCTATGGTGGTAACTGCACGTTGGCACATGAGTGTATAAGACATAATTTATTGGGGTACCGAAGATTTTTGAATATATTTTGTTTATATAGTTGTTTGATCTAGCCCGATCAAAACAATCGTTTACAAGAGTGACATACCCCGAACTGAATAGATTCCCATCTTTTACATACTTGATGCACTAAGGGGCACTAGATGAACAACTGAGATAGTATGCACATACATAGAGCACTGTGGTTTTTTTTTGCCTTTTTAGCCGTTCGTGAAATCCATTTATTGGATATGCAAATGCTGATTTGTAAAATTGGCAATTTCAAAATGGTGGGCGTGGCACGCAACCTTTCCAAGAGAGGCAAAAGCAACAAGCGCCCACTCAGAATTGATGGTAGTGCAAGTGAAATGTAATTAGAGCCACGACCCGAAAGCCGGGCAAAGAAGAACAAAAATAATGGCTAAAATAAGTATTTGATGTTGTTTTAGCAAAACTGGCTACTCTTGATGTTGTTGCTCTTGTGATTGTTGTTGTTGTTGTTGTTGTTGTGCGTGCTAATGCCACCCTTTATTGTTGTGTGTGACTTGTGCACGTATTAGATGAAGGTTTCAAAACTAGGCTATGCAATGGCTCTAATGACTTCGCCATTATAATAATACACACATAGAGTTACACCAGGGCGAGGACGAGGTTGCCACGAGGCCGCATCGACTTTAACGCAACAACAATAAAAAAATAGCACGAAGGTAAGAATACACAAAAAAATTCGTCTTCGTTAACGCAACTAACACGAAGCCAGCACAAGTGCGTTACAGTTTAGTTTATGAGCACATACATACATATATATATATATATATATATATATATATATATATGACTATATTTTTATATTTATTATATATTTGTATATATTTATATATATTTATATATAGTAGATACTCTGAAAACGCGACCAAACTCAAATTTCGAGTTAGCAAAGTTCAAAAGAAACCTCAGATTTTCGCATCGTCGCGTCTGTGTACCCCACTTTTCAAAGACGCTTCTCCACGCCCTCAACCCCCATCAATGTTAGTTAAAGGCGTTAATTGACAATTTTTTAATAAAACATATTTTTATTAAAAGCAATTGGGCTTATTGTGAGAAAGCATTAAAACAAATACAAGTATACACATACATATTTACATATTTCGCAATATACTCCTTCGAGCCGTTTTAAGCTCTGTGAGAGTATGCAGGCTTCGTAGTCAGGTTTATCAAATTTTGGTGCTCCATGAGAGCGGACTGGGGCTCAAGGGTAGGCCCGCGGACCAGCGCGAGAGAGTAGTAAGTCCCTTTCGAGCCGTTGAGCCGTACCATGCAGTTAGTGTAGAAAACTTAAGCTACGTGTGCCTCAGGAAATTCATCACTTGAATTTCGAACGCGCAGGCGACTGGTTCGTTGCTTTGTTGGGTCAGATCCTTAGAATATCCAAATAGAAAAGTGAAATATAAGGTGTACAAATCTATTGCTTAGTTGCTTGGTAACAATACTTTTCTGAAACTGAACACACAATTTTTGACTAAATCAACGGATTAAAGCAATTTGTTTTCGTGTGCTCACAATTATTGTTGTGCAAAAATTGTTGCTCAAGTACATCGGAGACTAAAAATACGTTTAGACTCTTCAAAGATATAGTGCGTGCGAACTCTCTTGTAGTCGTAAGCGATAAAATAATTTATATAAAAGTTGTAGTTTGGCGCCTAATTTTGCCTACTTGCGCTCGCTGAAAGTGCACTAAAATGCAGCCCTTGAAGCGATTCACACAGTGTGGCAGCCTGACTATGCTCTTCGGAGTCTTCATCATACTCTTTGGGGTGAGCTCCACGGCCTTAACTACATTCGGCAAGACCAATAATCAACCGCCGCCCACGCAAGGTCCCATAAGTAAGTAGAACTCGTAGACGAAGCCAAGGTAAAAGGAATTCTAGCAATAGCAGAATTTTTGTGTTTCACTTGAAACCGTTTTTTACAGTCGCATATTTTTTTGTGGCTGCTATGTATGTATGTACTATGTAACAAATTGTATGTTACGGAATTTGAAATTGAGTTAAAAAAAAAAAAGTAGTACATTTCTTGGGGTGCCAAAAATGCAATACCCTTGGATACATAACGCACACGTGCAGTATATTTTAATACCTTATTGCTCAGTTTGCTTAAGGTATCCATTTTATCAATCTTTACATACTCTATATGCATATATTTATTTTTTTATTATTTATTATTTCAAAACAACGTCTCCAAAAAGTAGATGTGTATATATGCCTTGCTGTTTTTATACAAATAGTGTTTTTAAAGAAAAATTATTTATTTTTATCAAAATTCCGAATATGTCAAGAAACAAAAAATATAGAGCCAATGCAATTAAGGTACTACCTTGTTATTCAAACAAATAACAAGAAATAACAATCTTACTTCCCTAATACCAAAAAATGAGCGTTACCCTGCTTCAGCTCCCTAGCGCCTAATGACATGCCATGTCTGGCACCTCGACTAGCTAGTACAAATAAGTAAACCGTTTTTCCGGCTTTGAACTCCAGCATAAATCAGAAATTGATCAAACAAGTCAATCAAATGCAATGACAACAATGCTAATAGCAGACAAATCGGTCAAATTATCGGAGTATCACGCGCAGTGTAAGCCAGGAGAAGCGGGGGGGAATGTGCAGATATGTAAATATATTGTTAATGACTATGGCGTATATAAGAATCAAGAATCAAGAGTTTTGCTTCAAATTGTATCTGTACGAAATTAATTTTTTTAAGGACATTTGTAATGAGCTTTCACCGGAAACTTTGCCCATTCATTTATTCGCAGCTTGCGACCAAGCAGTGTGGATTTTGCGGAAAGTATTAGGCAATTATCAGATGAATTCTAACAAAGATTTTTGAAAAAAAGTTACAATTCAATAGGATGAAACTTAAACCTACAAAAATATCTTTGATCTGCATTTTCTATCCAAGAGGGTTGAATTTTATGAGAACTATAAAAAACTTCTCAAATCAATTTTAACAAAAGTTCTTTAAAATAAGTTGGAGGCCGATCGCATGACCGTCTTATCGCCGTTTTCCCACACTTCGTGGTGAAACTACATACGAAGGGTAACTATAAAAACATTTGTGCGTTGATCAGCAAGCACTCAGTCAGTCAGTCAGTCAGTCAGTCAATCAGGACATAGTTTTATATATAAAGATAATCAAAATGTGTGCTTATAGAATCATTAATTTGTATTACGTTGATTTATTTACTTTTCAGTCAAAGGTCGCGAGTGCAGCACCCACGATGACTGCTCAACAACAGAACGCACCAGTTGTGTAAAGGACCCCAATGACTACAAGATGCGTTGCCTATGTGGAGATGATTCGCCGCCCTCGAATGGACTCTGTCCAGATGTGCTCAAAGGTAGAAACATTTTTATGCCTTAGCTAGTACGTACCTAATTGGGAGGCATGCACATTACATTTATAATTCAAGAGCCCACCCTCTTGGCAGCAAGCTGTTTTGTTTGTCAGTAACTCAAGTACGAAGGGGTTGCAAATGAGAATTAAACAAAGCACCATCATATATGTACATCATTCTCAAACATTTTGATGGAGACCTTTTAATTTTTCAAGATTTCGGCCTAAGTTACAAACACGATGTGCTCGGGCAGCACGTTATCAGACTGTATTTACTATAAAATCATATACGAATTGTGAATATCGTAAGTGTATGAAACTTTTTTATTTGCCATCCGCTCGGCCTTTGACTCATTTTTAATGACCTTTGTGAAAATTAATTAATGACGTGTTTCACACGGATTTGTAAAAAAACGTTTATTTTTCGCTTTATGGCTTTATTACTAAAATGTCAGCAAAAAATGATTTCAACTTTTAGTTCTTGAATCTATTGACTTCTAACGCATGAGAGTAAACTTAAACTGCTCAAGGCTCGTAAATACCAGCCATATATGTAAATAAAACATTCCGTTTGTCAGTTTTATTAGACTATTTTGAGAACATAGAGTATTTCCTACAAAACTAAAAATGCACCTGGCTGTTCCATTGGAATCTATATGACATTTTAGTATAATAGCCCAGTCTGCTTATTTATTATTTGCTGTTGTAATTTTTTTGCCATTGTTTTGTAACATTACTTACCACATACAAGATGCGATGTTGAAAGCGACATCGGGAGAGATTTTCGTTATGGTAGCGTAATGTCAAATTTATTTGAGAATGTCGTGACTCAAACGGCAAGGCATGAAATCGCCGCAGTGCCAATTTGTGACATGCACAGCTCAGAAAATTGCAAATATACTTACATATTACATGTTAATATTCTGACTCCGGGCATTTTAAGTATGTATGATTGTTCATAAAATTATACCATACCAACGTACGCTACACATATATATTTATATATTTATATTATTTTACTTATATGAAAAAGTCTTCAAAGCAATTAAATTCTATGTGGCTGAAGCTTTGAAACTAATACATTAATATCAGCTGCCCTATTGCATTTACATATATAGACTTGATAAAGTCATTATCCCGTCTTAATTAATGCAGAAATATATTTAATAATTTAATCGCAAAAGGCAAGGATACAATCGAATAATTGCATTTATAACAAATTTTAGTTTTATTATTTTAAGTAGCCGCTTATAAACTATTGTCCAATCATATATCTCAAGTTAACCTTCTATAAACAGAGATAGGTTTTTACATTTAAAGAAATATGGAAAAAGCTTGTTTTTAAAGATTAGTTCCTTTAGATTATTCTGTTATTATAAATAGGCTTACTCAAGTGTTTATCCCCTTCCAGGTCTGCGGCATAGATGCAACAGCAATCACGAGTGTGAAGATGGGATGGTTTGTCAATTCGAAAACAATAATCGTACCATTGGGGTTTCCAAGTTCATGTCGAGTAAAACTAAACTGTGTCTTTGTGATAATGATAATGGCTATGTGGAGGACATTTTACATGACATTTGCAGTGGTGGTGAGTTTCAATGCAAAATTCCACTTAATCAATAAAAATTTAATTTATTTTTTTGATATTTTTAAGCTAATCATCAATATCTGGTTAACCTTTTGGTATCACTCTTCTCTTTGCTGACACCGTTTTTTTTCTCAGCTCATATGAGCATGAGGAAGCATTTCTAGAAGGCTTCTTAAGCCACGGCTAACAAATCCCAATCTAATGTTTACGGTAATGTCTTTAGGTGATCCATCGAATGTGCCTCAATAAATCAACAACCATAGTTCGAAACTTTAAATGCTCCAATAGTGCTCTCTAAATTCAGTAAGCTATTAAATTAGCTATACAAATGGTGAAACTCCACATTTTGGTAGTCATTAGCCTAAATGTCGTTATATTCTATAAGTTTCATAAGTACCACCGTCAAATTTATTCGCTTCTCACACAAGTCGCGTTATACATCGTATACATATTATATTCTATTATATTATATTATATTATATTAATGGTTTTTATAAATCCCGTAACAATAGGCAATACTTAATTAATACATTAATGAATAAATGTTGCCTGAAATTAAATTTTATTCAATTTAATATGTAGAAAACTTAGCACTTATCTATACAAGTTGTCTGTATGTTCAACATAAATCAAATAAATAAAAGCACGGAATAAATTCGAAATATATTCTGTAATTGTAGGTACAAATTTCTCAATTTACTATGACAACATTAACACGTATGCACGTGGAAAACTTTTAATATGTAGTTCACAGTTAAAATCTAAAGGACTTGTGAGTCTCGACTTTGCTTAAAAAATACCATAGTTGCATCCAAGAACATTTTTGTACTTTATAATTAAGTCTTGCCCATTAAGCAAAATTTTTCCGTAGCTGTTTAATTTTATTAAATAAAATTAAAACAAAAAATACCCTGTTTTATTTTACAATCTAGAGAATATTATTGAACCGGTCAGGTTCGCTTAACGGTATCAATTTCAAAATACAAGCAACATGGATCATATCGTCATATCGTCCAAGCTTCTATAAAGTTTTGTTTGTCAGGATTTAATAATCTAAATGTTTTTGACTTCTGTGTACGACTATAGGACTAGCCATCAGTGATATTTTATCGCTTCATAATTAAAAAACTTTCCTATAGGAAAATTAACAGCAAAAAAGTTTTCGCCCAACGTGGGGCTCGAACCCACGACCCTGAGATTAAGAGTCTCATGCTCTACCGACTGAGCTAGCCGGGCTGTTAAGCCAATTGCGTCAAATTCCAATAAGAAAAGAATGCATGATTTTATGAAACAGAATCTAATAAATATATTTTATTTTACAAAGTAATAAAATTGCACAAGCATATTTTATGATTCATTGAATTTGTATTTAGTTGCTTTTTTCTTACGGATACACAATGCTAACAACATTCTTCCATTGCTAAATTACTCAATGGCATTTCGCTAAACCTAAAAGCTCACACTTGACATTGTTTTCACATAAAAAGCTCTGTTCGGAAGCTTTTTTGGTTGCCATCAGCTTCCTATGCTTGGACAGGTATATATCTAACGCTACAACAGGTGTTTTTAAGTTGACTCAAAAATAATGACTCAAAAAATAATCGTTGATTGCGGTAAATAAATACAAATTATTTAATTGTTAACTGCTGTCATTGTGCTATAAATTTATTTTAAAAATTAAATTTGTAAATTTGAGTAATCCTTCAAAAATCCAGTCGTTTTATCGATATTTAGGAATTGTTACGAGATAATATATATATATTTAAATTTAATAGTCTATAGTTTCTGTAGTTGCCGAGATCGACGAGCTGATACACACGTATCGCCGGATATATCAAAGTCGAATCAGCTCGTCGTCCTGATCTAGAATATATATACTTTATTGGATTGCCTGTTTCATGCATTTGTACAAAACTAATATACACGCTTTACTCGTTTTAATGACTAACTAATTGGATTGAGAACTGGAGTTATTGGGCGAAACTTTTGTCGTCAATAATGAAATTATTTTGCTTACATTTTAAAACTTGTTATTTTGTAAAGTGGCACCAAAATAATAGTTTTCATTTTCATTTTCAAGTAACTTAAAACATTTAATACATACATAAACTGAATTGGTGAAGCCACGTTCAAGTGTTACGAGCTGCTTTTGAAAACATTTTTGCTGAAGCTTTGAATAAGTTTATATTAATGTAAGTTGGAGCCCAAGATGTGTTGTACAGGTGTCGAATGAGTTGTCGATAAAAAACTGATGAATTCGAAGCTGTTTAATTTTATGCATTCCAAAAAAAATAAGACAACTTTCTTGATCATTTTTCGAAAATAGTCAGGTATTGGGTTCTTTTTTTCTTTTAACACCAATATCGTGGTAGTAAACATACATTGCTACAAAACAATCTAGCCAAACCATTAATATCGGACTTTAATACTTATCATCAAAGACATTACATTCATAATATTCTTGAAAGCAGACAATCTTTATAACAGGATTGAGACATAACATAATACCAGCATAACGCACCGCGTAAATAAACATACATATACATATGTATGAAAATTATTTGATGTATATAGAAACCCTTTATTTTAGACAGCTTAATGCCATACTCTATATGAATTTAGGGCACTATTAGGAATGAATGAATTAAGGAAAGGAAGCATAAAACAAAAAGAGAAAGGTTTAAGGTTGGATTTATTTTAATTGAACTTTAATCCGGCTAAGGATCATACATATTTCAACGATGTTCTTAAGTCCTCTACAAAATGCATCAATTCAAACCTTCGAAAACTAAGATCGCAGTGGCTGTAACCTTCTTGCTGCCGCCACTTTTAAACAGCCACACAAATAATTTAATCTAAATGAGGAAATACAAATTAAAATAGCAGCGCTGAAAACAATACAATTGCATCGCAATTGCAATGCTGTTGATAGAATTCAAAGAAACAAAAACACTAGGAGGACTTACAGCTAAAATTTCAAGTCAATTTCAACCAGACGGACGGACGGACATGGCTAGATAGAGTCGGCTATTGATGCTGATTACAAATATATATACCTTATATGGTCGAAGATGTTTCCCTCTGCCTTATATACCCCTTTTACCCATTTTCAGTGGGTTCAGGGTATAAAAATGCACTAAAGTTCTTTCGGTCAATATAGCAATGTGTTTTATTTTGTTAATTTTAACACAATTTGGCATTAGACATGTTCTTGCCACTAGAGTAGGTTATGCTAAATATTTAAACAAGGTTGTAAGCCGGTTTGAGCAAGGAATTTCAAATTTTTAACCATCATTAACAATCTTAAATATAAACTGAGCTCTATTGAAGAAATAAAACCGGTTGAGTTGAAAATATATGGAACATATCCTAATTCCTAGCGGTATTTTACGTACCATGTGTAAAGTTAACCAATTTTGATTAATGAAAATATATAAATATAGGTAACTTAATTATTCAAAATCATCTAAATATGGCTAAAGCTACAAACCTGGTAAAACTACTTGAATATAAAATCAAAACAATTAAAATGCGATTTCATTAAAACTAAAATAGCGAATCTTCCGCGCGTATGTATTCTCCAATATCAGATTGGTGAAAGCAAACAGTAGTCAGCGGATCTGCGGTTTTACATTCAGTAGTGGAGCGTGCAAGAATGCCAAATCCCAAAGCCAAGTCATTCATGGAGTACACAACAACACCTTGGTACTGTCCAGCGTTTTCCGTTATTCTGCCCAAGCCTGATTTGGGTATGTGATTGCCATAAAGGAACTGCTGCTCGAAGGAAGGCTTGACCCAAACCTTGTACTGTGCATATGGTGCCAAATAATAAAGCGCCGTTATGTGGAACTTCAGTTTGTTGGTTTTGGAAAATTTTCCAAAGCATGTGCCTACACAGACAATTTGTTTGTAACCGAAGCACTCGCTGAGTTTTAATATACGCTCAGAGACATAATAAACGCGATCTCGGTGCTCGCGAAAGCAATACGTGCCATCAGGACGATCAATCAGTTGTTGTACGTTTGGGCCAATACTGAAATTGAATGGTTAATTTTAAGCATTATATTAATTATTGTCTAGCCACTTACTATTTGGCAAGTTTTTCAAAGAGAATCTTAGTGCGTTCATCGGTCAATCGTTTCATTATGTTTCTTGCAAAGCAATGAACGCGGCACAATATAAAAAATGTGTTTTTACAAAAATACACTAAAAAAATACCAGTGCAGCACACGTGCTGTATAGTAAAGCAATTCCAAGCCTATAACACGAATTCACCTATCGATACATTTGTATCGATAGGCACTGTAAACTCTTTTTGCGCTAACATTTTGGTCTTAATTGCCGACTGTGTAGCCATTTGAAGTTACTTCGAGGAAAACTGTATTACTGAAATTCGTTTTATTATTTGAATATTTAACGTCTCGTTAATACTAATAAATAAATAATTAACTATTTTAATGTACGTACAGACGGTAAGTCTAGAATATTTATTCGAAGCTAATTAGAAGTATGCTATTTAAATGTATAAATAAGCATCAGACTCTCAAAATCCTACAATTTTATATATATTTCTATATCATATTATTCTGATAAATTCAAATTACTTCTTATATTTAAAGTTAAGTTATATTTTATTTGGCTTTCTGTGCTGCTGTACGACATTCGGCAATCCGAATGGAATCCTAGTTAAAAAATTCCTAAAAAAATTAAGTGGAATCGTTTGGACATTTTTTATCTGCGTTGAATAAAACAAAATATTACACTGCTGTTCAGAAAGGCTGTCAGCTGTTCAAGAAATCCAAATTAAATCAGTACGCAAAAAGAGTGGTCACTTCAACTGACTCAGTTTCAGGAATCCCACTAATATATATCGATTATATTAACAATGTCAAACAAAAACGAGTTTTGGGAATATCATTAACATTGCTAGAGAACTGTGACTTGCGGGATTCAAATAGTTGTGATAAGTAACACGTACCCTAATAACACGTATGAAAACTCATAAATACATATGTGCAGTTTCTTGTGATTTATATATTAATAATAATAACGCCGGAGCATTGGCGCATAAGCTGCAAAGAACAAGTAAATGGCACAGCAGGTGAAATCAGCTGCGATATGGCTGCTGTTGTTGCTTCAAAGTAGCGCAATTGGTAAGCATTGTTAGAAAAAGTTGCTCATAAGATATGTATGCGAAAAGCGTACCAATAAACATAATCTTGCTGCTGACTCACTTAAGCCCCTTTTGTTTTTTCTCACTAGTTCTTAGCGAACGCACGCGTGATAAGATATATCAACCCATTATAGGCGCAAGCTGCTTTCGACGCTTAAACGGCACTCATCAGACAGGATGCTCATGTAAGTAGCTCATAGGTGGAGGGACCGGGTGAAGAGAATCATAATTTTAAATTTTATTCCATAACAGCAACATACTCTGGTTCAGTTGGGGTGCTGCATTTGATAAATGTAGCAGCAGACTTGGAATTTTTGCTCAGTAGTCCTCCGTCGCCTCCATACGCTCCCCTGATTCCACCACATTTGTTTACAAGGACCAACCTGCTACGTCTCAAAGAAGCCGGACCGAGGATAATATCCGTTGTGCTGCTAATCAACAGGCCCAAAAAAATGAGTCAATTTTCGCACGAACTTAAGTGTCCCAATCAGTACAGCGGACTAAAATTGGACAACAGAACTGAGACTGTCACTTGCGATGTTAGCAACGTGGGCAACACCTGGAATCCTTGGGGCACTGGTCTACTGCATGAAGACTTCCCATTTCCCATTTACTATATAGCTGATGCTGAAGAAATTGACAAACTGGAAAACTGTTTTGAAAAATTCAACAACTTTGATTATGCGTCCCATGCCTTGCGTAGCCTATGTGCTGTGGAAGTAAAGTCTTTTATGTCAGCAGCTGTTAACTCTGAAGTGTGCATGCGTCGCACTAATTTTATAAACAATCTTGGGGGCAGCAAATATTGTGATCCCTTGGAGGGTCGGAATGTTTATGCAACATTGTATCCGCGAAATTCACCTGAAAACTTGGAAGCTAATGCTGCACGCAGCGTCAATGCTAACGAGAAGTTTATTATTGTGTCTTGCCGCTTAGACACTACAAGCATGTTCGATGGTCTGGGTAAGTGCAGTTAGCGATAATTTTTGATGATTACTTACAGTCACACTTTTAGGATTGGGCGCAATGGATTCGCTGATGAGTCTGGCTACTCTAACCCATGTGGCTCATATGCTGCGCCTACTGTTGCCTGCGCAGAGCACGCTGCCTGATCCGAAACGCAATGTGCTTTTTGTGGCATTTAATGGCGAGTCTTATGACTACATTGGGTCTCAGCGATTTGTCTACGACATTGAACATCTGGCTTTTCCTACCCGTTCCACACTTAGTACTCCTATTTCATTTGAAAATATTGAGTTTATGCTGGATATTGGCACACTAGACGACATAGAAAATATTAAGCTTCACACACTTACCGCAACGCCGCTGGCTCAGCAATTGTTGCAAAAGCTCAACCGATACGCCAAGTCACCGCGATATGGTTTTAATGTTAACATCGAATCAAACGTGGGCTATCAAATACCACCCACATCAGCGCAATCCTTTTTGCGTCGCGAAACCAAGTTTCCGGCATTAATCTTGAACGCTGTGCCAGGCAATAAATACTATCACTCCATATATGATGATCTTGATAATGTGGCCTTTATATATGGCAATACGAGCGAAGATTATACAATATTGGCTAATATAAACGATAAAAAATACTTCGACGCCGATTCCTTGCAAATGAAGGTGCGCAATGTCTCATCCATAGTGGCCATGATGCTTTATGAGACTTTAACGGGCAAACAATACCAAGGCAATGAAGTGGTCAATCCAATATTGGCGGATGAGTTCTTCTACTGTTATCTGCAATCGTCCGATTGTCCTCTTTTTAAAGCTTCTTCATATCCGAACAGTCCAGCCGGTCTACCGTTGCCGCCAATGCGGTAAGTATCATTGCTAAAGAATTCTAGTAAATAGCGAAATTCATCAAAACATGTGTTTATCGAATGTGTAGGTACATAAGTGTACTGGGTGGTTCACAAGAATCATCAGGTTGGACATATCGACTGCTCGGCTATCTGCTCTCACATCCGGAGCCAAATGTGCCAAAAGAAAACTGCAGTCAGCTACCACTATTTTATTTTGCCGGCGTCAATGGCACAGGAGAGTGTCGTCATACAACGCAGAATTTTACAAGTGCACTAAGTCCGGCATTTCTTATTGAAGGTGAGTACTAAGTTTATTTGGGAGTTGGCGGATTAGAAGTTATCTTTGATTTTTGCATTACAGACTACGATTGGCGTTCAGGCGAATACTCTACATGGACTGAATCCACTTGGTCACAGTTCAGCGCACGTATATTCCTACGTCCGTCAAATGTGCATGAAATAACCACTCTGAGCATTGGCATCGTGGTGTTTATAATTTCCTTCTGTTTAATATATATTATCAGCTCACGCTGGGAGGTGCTCTTTGAAGATGTGCCTGCTAGTAATGCGGCGTAAGTTGAAAAACAAACGTATCCTTTCATTTTTCATTTTTTGACATCTCTATTTGCACATCTCCGTAGACCAAGGGGGTAACCTTTTTAAACTTGGATTGGGTCATATCGCTATTATTTCATGTATTTTTCACAAAATATTTTCTTTAAAATCCTTCTATTTTTTCTTTTTCAACTAACTTTGTTATTTTTAGATTATTTAATTGATGTATTTGAAGTCGGCCCTGCAGCAAAAACCACAAGAGCGCCTTCATTACATAACTCTAAGCTGTGCATGCAATTCTCACTTCAAACTACTTAGTGACCCGATTAAAATATATAATTAACTTTTGAATTACCCTCATTTAACTTGCAATTCTAGATTGCCACCGCCAACGGCCTGTTAGTGGCAGGACAATCGGGAAGCTCCATACCCAATAGGAAAACCTAATATAAGAAAAACCTCAAAAATACTTGAATAATTTTATAGGAATAATAAATAACAATTATGTATAACCCATGATAACTTAAAAACCTCTAACAGATACTTTAAATTCCAATTGCTTTAAGTGCTAGAAAATAAATATTTGTTTATGTACACTTTTGTATTATAAAGACGTTACAAGCAATTAGTATATATTTGTATCATAATTAGCAATTAAATGATATTTATAACAATGTTTTTGTTTCTTGTCTTCTTTTGTTTGCTTAATACTAGAATTTATAAATATAACCAGAAAACTGAATCTATAAGGAGGCCAATAAGTAGAGCCGCAGTTAATTTATATATATTCTTCATGATTAGTTTTAATCTTGATGCTTTATTATAAAAAACAGATTTAAAATGATTAAGATTTGTTTTTATAATATTTTGTTGTTCATTTTTAGCGTCTAGTCGTTCTACGTAATACCGCACAGCTGACAATTTCTCACAGCACATTGTTTCTCCTTATGAGGTATTCGTTCTTACAGTGTCCAATATTTGTACAGTTTTAAGTTAAATTTCAGTCATGGCATTATGTAGTTAAGAATGCAAACTTAACCATCCCTTTCGCTGCAGATTTACAATTGAATCTGCTATTACATACTTAGATGAATTCATGTAGCCTCCGCTAAGCAACATAACGATTGGTATACCCAGCGCTCGAAACGTACTAAACACCAAGCGATCACGTTCAATAACGCCGTCCGCGCTAATGGCTAAATTACCCAACGGATCACCTTTGAGGATATCGGTGCCGGCATTGTATATAACAACATCTGGCTTAAATTCGGCGAGTGCTTGCATCAGGCATCGTTTCAATTGCCTTAAGTAGTAAGCATCTTCTGTCAAATGCTTTAACTCTACACCGCAACGAATGCTGAGCTTGGCTTCGTGATCCTTTGGATAAACAAACGCATTGTACATATCTAGTATGTAGACAGCCTCTATATTCTTAAAGTCCCGCTCATGGCCATTTCCCTGGTGGGCATCCAAGTCAACAATCATTGCATTCTGTACTCTGGATGACTCCAACTCAAACAAGCGTACAAGGAGCAAAGTAATATCTGCATAAGGACAAAAGCCACCGCCCTTGTACGAGCAGCAATGATGGAATCCACCGCCCAAGTTGATTGCCCAACCATATTCCAGGGCTAATTTACCAGCCAGTATTGAGCCAGCCGTTTGGTAACGCATTGGACGCAGATATCCACTTTGCACAGTAAAATTTGGCAAAAACATCAAGGCCGGAACTTCCGCGATACAAGCTACTTTGGCACTCCATTTGAGGGACTTTAAATACTTGGAAGTGTGTACCCGCAGCAATTCTGTTTTGGTAATCTCAAGTGGGTCGTAGAAATCACCGCATTCAAGTGACAGTTCAGCACATAGCAACTGAAAATAGAATACAATAAAAAGGTATTTATACTTCAAGGAAAGGTATGTTTATATGTATGTACCTGTTGTATATGCTTTCCTTTGGCTGCATCGAAAGGATGAAGCTTTTCAAGACCAGCAAAGCGCACGGAATAATGCTTGGAGTAGACGATGGGCAACTTATCACGTCTCGCAGTATCCTCACATTGCATCTTGAATGTATCTGCACTTTTTTTTTATTCTATTTCATGAAATCTGGTGTTTTTTTTTTATTGTTTTGGCACTTTGATATTTTTATTGTAAATGAATGACACTATAATATAAAAGTGGGAAACGCGCAATTGTTTTCGGAAGTGCTATGAATTTTTATTGTTGGTAGACAGCAATTTGAGTTGTGCGAGTTGTGGAATACATATATATACTATATATAGGCGTTCACCAATACAAAGCCAGTCAAAATAATTTATATGTATTATTAAAAACAGCTATTACCGATACTTCGCCGCTACTATTCACGTTTCTAATGTAAGTACAATTGGAGGAAAAGTTAAGGTACCTTCCCAGTTTAATGCATTAGCGATGCTTTTTAAATCGATAATTGTTGATGCAACTTGCTGCAAACCACCGATGTGCATCAGAGTAGCCGTTAGCTGCATTTAAAGTATTGTGCAGTATTCATTTCTTTGCATTTCGATAATAGACAGTACGATTGCATAGAAGTTGTAAATTACGATAATTGTTGACCAGAGGCTTGCCGCGGTCGTCTGTCAACAGCCACAGGTTTTGTAACTACAATGTTTTATATTAATAGTGGAATACTTTACAAGCGGCTGTTTGGCTCACATATTCTTTTGATATTTCAATATGCTTTGGGAAGACAAACCAATTGACGACCTCGGAGCAAGGTGGTGTTGTAAGCGAGCCTATAAAGAAATACAATTGCGTAATTGCGTTTCGTTCGATATGACACGTCAATAATATACTGACCCTTATAGGTAAAAAACTCTCGTCTTTCTATGCCAGTTAAAACATCCCTTAAGGAAAAATTAGCATCGAATGTTGAAGCTTTATTAAAATCCCTGACCATAGCCGCCTCACTACAAATTTGATTTAAGGCCCGTGGCTGAAGTGTGGGGCTCTTAATAATACAAATATAATTATCTAACTACGCCTATATAATGCAATGCCTAGCTTACCTGAACAATTTTCAACATCACTGCCAGTACCACAAAGCCATCGGGAAAGCGAATGGCTTCCTTTTGCTCTTTGTATGCACTATTCTGATGAAGAATATGCAGTTCGCCATCAAATCGCTGCGAGTTTATGGTGTGCTCAGAGCCTTTGTTTTCTAGTGAGCCCCAATGAAAATGTAGCTGCACGGCTTTGTATAGGCTTTCCAGCTTACAACCACAAACAGCTGGTTGGCATCCATCATCTATAGGTGGTATTGCCATTGTCACGGTGTGTCCATTGTTGATTACTTTCAGAGGGCCGGAAAATGTCTTGTTATAGTTAAGAAAGCTTAACTTTGGCGCCTTGGAGCAAACAGCCTAATGAATATTTGTACTATTTGTAAAAGTTAACCAAATAAGAGAATTTACTTTGTCTTTAACCAAAGATATAGGCGATTGTTGTTTGCCACCGTTTACTTTCCAGTCCCTTCCTTGTTGATCATAATTGAAATGACTTAACTTTGCATAGTTTCTCAGTACGTAATTCATTTAAGAATGGCTACCGATTTACTTTAATTTGAAATTTAGTTATAATTTTAAAATAAATTAAAAATGTCAAGCTCAAGAGTTTTAGTTGCATATGTCAAGTATATTTTTGTTAACACTCATAGGTGTTTTTTTGATTTTTATACATATTTTTATTGCAGATTTCTGTAGTAAACTGGTCTATCATTTGTATCCTGAATATCGCGGTATGTGTTTATTAAAGGATACCTGCGTGAGTCCTGCAAATTCCAAAGCTTCATGATTTGTCGTCTAGGCAGCTCGACAACATCCTGGAAAACAGTCCAAGTAACTGACTCGGCACAGTCGGGCGTGGTCAATGATCCTACATATATATACAAAAATGTTGACATACTTAATTGATTTAATAATGTATGTAGTAATATGTATATAAATTTATTTCGAATACAGACCGTTATATGAGTAAAACCTGCCAGTAATAATGTTGCCCAGCAACTGGCCTGCGGTTAATCGTCCATTAACCATTGTACTGGAATTGTATTCAGTAATCAGAGGTAACTGATTAAAGATCCTAACTAGCCCAGAATGCTGCGATGTCAGCCTTGGCACAGCCCTAAACATGACACCCAGAACAGCCAGACCATCCGCAAACATACTGGCTTCGCCCACAGTATTATCGGCATATCGAATATTCTTATGAACAATGTGCATTTCGACATCGTAACGCTCATAATTGATAGTATGTTCGGATCCCTTGCTGTTGGGGGAACCCCAATGAAAGTGAACACTTTGTGCTTCAAAGGTGCCTGGCAATAAGCCACCATTGATGTATGCACGCTGCCCATTACGGGTGGGTGGCAAAACCATGTTCGCTGAAGTAAATTTCAATATGCTTGAATATTTGGATAGCAATCAAATTAAATATTCGCACACCTGTGTGTCCGTTGTTTGTTAGGACTAGAGGCGACTGCAGTGGCTGATCGTAGTTGTAAAACCGTATACGAGGTATGGAGGTCACATTTGCCTGTTGAGAGATGCCACAGACTAGAAAGTCTGGAACTCTGTAGTTTATTTGATACTTACCTTGCTGTAGACTAATTCAATGGGCGATTGCTGTAGTCCATCTTGGCATGTTCCCTTCCAATCATTGCCTTGCTGATCATAGTTATATTCTCCACTTGCTTGCTCGGCTGCTTCATCGGCTCTTAAGTCATTGATATATTCATTCGACAGCTCTACAGGTCGAAAAGAATCACACCAAATAAATAATCCATTCCAAATATGTTAAAAACAAATAAAACGTACGAATATAGGCTGGACAACAGGTAAAATTTAGTACTGCCAGCAAAAGGAACTGGAGCCAGAGCTCAAGTCCCCAACATCTTGAAATAAACATTTTTAGATGTTGTTGTACAATAACAAAATATTATGATGCTTTTAACTAGCTATATGCGCTCTGGGTAAGGCTTGCAACTAGACTGCAACAATCCTCTGTTCGGGCACAACAATTTATAGGTGCAGAACCTGCTAAGCGGCAGCATCATTATCGATAAGAACAACGTTCATGCTTCGGTTCTTCCACTGTGCACTTGTTAGGCCAAGCTGCAAATTTGCATAGCATTTGCAACGTGTTTTACAATTTGCATTGGGTCCTCCCCAGTGCCCAAACCAGCTAAACGCCTGCTACTGGCGCGCCAAACGTATTTCTAATTAAATAGAGAGCTGTAAAATCTGGTTCAGGTTCAGTGGACTTCTGGATGGGTTTCATTAAGAAGTCGCGGTCATTGATTGAAAATCGGTTTTCTATCTGTTCTTTAATTAAAGTATACACATGAATACATCAGAAACTTTACTATATGTTTCTGCGTGCGAAGAAATAAACATAATTGTAACATGTCTTGAGACCCGTCATCTTTTACTTCCGGTATGAATTAATTTAGTACAGCCTAAATTTTTAATTGTTCCTTGCTTGGGCAAATATTTTGCCATTCCTTTTTTCCATCATTTTTTCTTACAGCCCAATGGATCATTTAATTTATTATTTGCAACCAGAGTAATATATTATCGTATTTATATATATGTATTATAAATTTATTTGTTATTAAACTTAGATTTGGTAGGAGGTAAAATAATATGTAAAATTGACAGTTTTTCAATTTCGCCTTACGAGGCTTGAATTGGGATCCCAATCTTCGGTTGCCATTATACTCCAGCAGCCTGACATGGATTCTTCTTTTCTGCAATAGTTTGTATTAAATTTGTCATTAAAATTTCCCCCCTCTTAATAAAATCATTGCTTTCTGGATACCTTCGGAAACTCACTGACCATTCCCAGCTATGAGTAGCGGCATAGCTTGCCGGACAGGCTATGAATTTACCCCAGCGAGTCGGTGATTTCTCATCACTATATCTTTATCCTATTTACTTAATACTTTATATACTAGTATACATTTCTTTAATTTTTCTGTTTTCTTTTTCTGTAAACATGTACGCACACACAATCATGCGCGTCTTTATTGAATTAGATCAACAGTACTGCAATTGTGATTGTATTGTATTCTGAGCTGCTATTTTAATCCGTTTTTTCTCATTGAGATTCAATTATTGCAGTGGCTGTTGAATAGAAGTGGCGGCATGTAACGTGGTCAGTTGCGCTTTCGAACCCTACCGAGGGAACTTTTTATACCCTGAACCCATTAAAAATGGGTATAAGGGTATATTGTATGTGTGCAAGATCCAAATGTATGTAACAGGCAGAAGGAAGCATCTCCGACCCCATAAAGTATATATATTCTTGATCAGCCCCAATAGCCGAGCCGATCTAGACATGTCCGTCTGTCTGTCCGCCTGTCCGTCTGTCCGTATGTATGAGCGCAAGCATCTCAGAACCTATAAGAGCTAGAGACTTCAAATTTTAGATGTAGGTGCTCCTAGTGCCCGCACAGATCGAGTTTGTTTCCGATAATCGATAACTTACTCAGTTTTCAAGCAATCGATAAAAATCGATATCGATAATCTGTTTTTTGGGCAACTTTGGTAAATAATAAGAGCTAGAGTCACCAATCTTGACATATAGCTTCTAAAATAGAATATATATATGCATTTGATGTTGGAAGAAGAGGGTTCAGGGTATTCCCTAGTCGGGAGTTCCCGACTAGAAACTCTAACTTGTTCTAAATTTATTTTTATTACTCTTAAAGCAAATAAGCGCGAAGCTCGAGCTGAAATCGGTGTTGGTGGGAAAGGGTTCGGGTTATTCCCTATTCGGGAGCTCCCGACAAGAGCCTCTTACTTTTTTAATAAATCTCTTCATTCTTATTTCCTTTATATTAAATTTTCTTAAATAATGTAGTAATGCTCGGTGGCTTGAACCAAGGCCTAGAGAACGCATACAGCTAGGGTTCAAATTATGTTTACAAGGTGTTAATATTGGATATTTACCCCACCAATACTATGTTGATACGCTAAAATTTTAGTAATGAGTTATAAATGTTATTATTTTAAACAAAGAACTTGATAGGGATGGAATATCGTTTGAACTACTACGTAACTACTAACTTAATATGATATATAATTAAGAAAATGAGGTACTTTAAAAGTCGTTAAGGACAGTTCACACTCTAATTAAAGCTCTGACACAACTTTTAAGTTATAGCTTGTTGATAAATAAAACATGAAAGAATGATGTAGTCGGACTAAAAATGCTCTGTACCCTCAGTCAATTTAATATTTTGGGGTTTTCTCCCTCCTTCTCTCTACCTTTTCACTGTTTTGGAAGTCTCGTATTGGTAGTGAAGAAAGGAGGCAAACTTTTTTCTTTAGCCCAATAGCATCTATGTGGCTAAATCGATATATCTCGTCGTCCTGAATATATATAATTTATGTCTCTTTCTTCCTGTTATAAAATAAAATAATACTGTATTACCAAGGTATTACCACTAACCAAAAAACTTATAGGTAAGACATGCAGTACAGTACAAACAACAAAATTGCATTATTGGCACGTGTCTGGATTGAATAAACTGAATGAAAAAGCTAAATATTATAAGTCAATAAAATTATGAATACTATAAATATATAATTGATCCTTGTTTATGTCTGGTATATCTGAGGATTTTAAAGATTTTCATTTTTGAACTAAGTGAGAAAACATACTGCAGGTATTCGGCTGACATCCCTCTTTTTCATCGAAAGGAGGTCAGTTGTCCTGTTATTCAACAAGTCTTTTTCCACATTTAAAAATATTGCGTACAATGAAGCCTGAAATCGATTCGTAGATGGTAAAACCATTTAATTTTTAAACTTTCCGAGTGCAAACCAGACTCCACTCGACATCTTTGAACAGTTGGAGTAGAGGGAAACCTCGCGAGTGTCGACTACCATGTCCATATCCCATACTTTCCTTGGGGGAATGTTTGTGGTATATGTCCACAGTTCTGGGATTTCGTGGTCCGTCTGTTCCTGGGCTATGCTAATAGTGGCTCTGCTAATCACGTCTGGAAAGGCAGTTGACACTAGTATCACCACATCGTCTGTGCAGGTCACGGCTAGGGAGTGCTCCTTCTGCCTAGTTTCGGTATGATGATAATTTTCGCGTCCCCCCATGAGATATGTATGTATACACGTATTGTGTATCTGTTATTTTGTGAATGCATCTGTAGAAGGGAGCTAGAATGTTTGTGTTGCATGCGTGCAGTACCTAATCCGAGATATGTGCGCATTAACCCAGTAACATGAACAACATCATGAAGATGCTCTGGTGATCTTGAACAAATCCGACAACATTAAAACTAACAATAATCTCTATGATTAGGCGCAAACTTTAAAATACAAAAGTTCCCCTTCATATTTCCGGCACCCTTACGAGTAACTGAATGCACCCATAACCAAACTTCAGCTGAACCACCGACCGTGCTCCCAATCTCATTAGCCCCATGCCATAGAAACACATGAGAACACGAACTTTGACGATGGACAGGATATACTGAACAGAATCCAAATTCTGTGAAAGTAATATCAAAACTCTCTATTATAACCTATTGCCAAAAAAAAAAAATAAAGTCAAATCAGCTCCCAATCTATTCTTTAATAAAGAGGCGGTAGGAAGTAATACAGTCGGTTACGGGCTCAAATCTAATGGAGGGAACTTTTTTAAAATTTATTTTTATTATTGCTAAAGCAAACAAGCTCCTAGCACGGCTTGCATTGGAAGTTGGTAGAAAAGGGGTTCAGGAGGATACCCTATTAGGGAACTTCTTCTTCCAACATCAAATGAATATATATATATATTATATTTAAGAAGCTAAATGTCAAGTTTGGTGACTCTAGCTCTTATTATTTACCAAAATTGCCCAAAAAACAGAATATCGATATCGATATCTAAAATTTCAAGTCTGTAGCTCTTATAGGTTCTGAGATCCTTGCGTTCATACATACGGACGGACGGACGGACAGACAGACGGACATGGCTAGATCGACTCGGCTATTGATGCTGATCAAGAATATATATACATTATGGGCTCGGTGATTCTTCCTTCTGCCTGTTACATACATTTGCATTTTGCACAAATACAATATACCCTTTTACCCATTTTTAATGGGTTCAGGGTATAAAAAGTAAAGTGTGCATAGTACTGAATTTTTATGGGATCAATGTTGGGTCCCATGTGTTCCCTTTTCTTGTTTTTAATATTAAATTTCTAATTGTAAATTTATTTATTTAACAAAAGAAGCCCTTAGCAGGTACATCAGACATCTTATACATGTCGTCATTTGTGTTATCTAAATGAGATCGGATCTCATCGGATCATTTAATTTGTGAGGGTTATAGATTTTATAATCCTTGAATATTGATTTACAAAAAAGCGAAGCATAAAAATAATATTTTTTTCGCGGAAACCGAAATAACAAGATGCATGGTTTCTCCTGTTAAATACTTAATTTCTTATATACTTCAGTTTATATTAGGTTAATAATAAATGTATAACACGTGTTAATCCAATACATAATAAATAAAAGAAATACAATTAATTGTTTTGAAACAAGCATTAAAATTTAAGAACTTTTGATAATCGAGGGAATTGAAGAACTTGCTCCTTAAGACAATGCCCTAATTATATTTTGCTGAACGGATTATAAGAAATATAATCAGGCTTTAGAACAAAAGAAAAAATATTTGTTGTAAATCAAAAATGCCGGCCAGTTTGGGGTTGCATATAAATAGAAAAACCAACTTATATAATAACAATCCATGGACCGACTTTACTAGCCAAGGTAGAAGTCACTCACATCTTTATTGGCGCGGTAGAAAACATGCCGATTGTTGCGCGGTTGCAGTTTACGATAGTTATTTCGTATAGGATTTCCATTTGAGTCCTGAAGCTGCCATAATTGTTGTATATCTGACAACGGTAAGGGCAAAGGCCGAGCAAACACCGTCCAAATAACAGCCTCGTTGCAATCAGGCGTGGTCAACGAGCCCTTGTAGGTGTAAAAGTGACGCGTATTCAAATCACCCAACAACTGGCCGAGGGTAAGAGGCTCGTGCAGCTCAGTCTTGCTATGATATTCGACTATGTTTGGGAGTGCAGTAAATATTTTTCTTAGGCCAGGATACACGCGATGTGGGCTCTTTAAACATAACATATAAGTTGTTGATTTTATAATGGTTACCGTTACAAACTTACTTTGACTATCTTAAACATAATTCCCAGTACCGCTATGCCATCGGGGTGATTTGCAGCTTCAGCGATGTCCTTGTAGCGCACATTCCGATGCACAATATGCATTTCCACATCATGGCGTGTCCTCTCTATCAGATGCTCAGCTCCACGTGATTCAGGCGATCCCCAGTGGAAATGGACGCCATTGGCTACATATTTCCCCTTGAGTAGCCCTCCAGTAATGAAAGGCTTCCTTCCATTGCTTGTTGCCGGTATGGCCATTTCAACTGCATCGCAACACCGAATTAACCATTGAAACTTATTATTTGTACTAATTTATCAAAAAAAACTTTTCAACCTACCTGTGTACCCTTTGTTAACCAGTGTCAGCGGACTATTGAGCCTTTTGTCATAATTTTCAAACAAAATTCGTGGCAGTGGCGCGATGAGTGACTAGTTATAAAAGGCATGTCATTAAAAGAAGTATGTATCTCCCTCACACACCATACAGACAATCTCATCCAATTTGTGCAGATAAGGCTAATAGTGAAAAGTAGCGCAAAATTGTGTACAATTTGAAGCAAATTGGGCCATTCGGAAGCAATCTCTTTAAATGCACCAGCGCACCATTTATCAAATTAGCTGTCAGCGTTTATAACGGAAACAACAGATATTATGTGCTATGTAATATATTGCACTTAGTCGTCTGTGTATGTTAACGCATTTTGTAATAAAATTTTGTTTTATGGTTTGCAGATTTGCTTTGGGTTGGATCATCGAATATGTCTGTAAGTATTAAATATGATACCCTTATCATAAGTGAATACCTTCACAAGTAAGAATGTTACTTTGGTATGCAACCGAGTGCCAAAAACTCTATCCAATGGCCTATAAAGCTCAAAACTTGAGTTTGGTGAATGTGAACTTTTTATAACCTGCGTAAAAAGGGTATGTCTGTATGTCCGCCTGCCTGAATGTATGTATGAATGCATCGATCTCAGAATCTAAAACAGCTAGAGACTTGCGCTGCTCGAGTTTATTACCATAATCGATGTCTCTCCCTAGCGCATTCTGCATTTGGTGTTGGAAGAATAAGTTTAAAGGTATCCCCTAGTCGGACACTGCCGTCTATTCGATTTGTAAAAGTGTCCATGCGAAAAACTTTTTTGGTAAATCTTTAGAAACCTTTAATATTGTATCTGGTGGTAGATCTAACTCAAAATGTATGGCATGGACGTAAAACATGGCGGACATTGCCCAAAGCCAATATACACGTTTTCAATGTGCAATCAGACAATCAAAGTATTCAATTCTCAGGAAATTTACTTACACTATCCACAGATAGCTTAATAGGTGCCTGTCTAAGACCCGTCGCGCATGTGCCTTCCCAATCTGCACCGTTTTCGACAAAGTTCCAATCTGCGTTGGGTAAGCTACTATCATCTGAAAAATAGAAAGGTTGTTTCAAAAACAAGCCGTTGAATTCATTAGTTTTCACTTTCTTGCAGGCCCTAAATGGGGCTTGTCACAATAATTAATTTTTTTTATTTTGAATTAAATTTAAACGAATATTCACTTTTCGACATTCATGTCTGTTACCATTTGTTGGAGGGCTATACGCAAGTGGCAGCAATAAAAACAATTTATTGAAAATATTTGGATACATTATTATTACTTCTTTTATACACGTAAGCCGTATGTTAAACTATTTTGTATTTTGTCTGGAACGACGGCAGCTTTGGCTGCTGCGACTACTGGTTAAGCACAACTGAGGTGACTTTAATACGCTCTATAACTTTTATACCAGCGCAACCGCAGCACTTGGTGAAAAAACTGATTGGGACATCAGTTCCCAATCGGATTTAAAATGAAATACTAAGGATGTCAGGGATTTAAAGTTGTTGTGAAATAATGCTTGTGTATTGCTTTTAGCTGCACAGGAAAATTAATATAACTATCTCTTTTAACAGATCTTCAGTATTATTTAAAATGTTACTACCGTCTGCAAAGGTTCTCGTAATCCGCTACGCTTCTTACTGTTATACCCTAAGCCCATTGTAATTGGGTTAAAAGGGTATAATGATTTTGTGCAAATGTACGTAAAAGGTATAACATATATACCAAATCCTATCAACATTGGACCACTGTATCATATAGCTGTCACAGGAACGATCGAAAAGAAGGTTCTGGTATCGAAATCTTTTTTTACTAATTTTCTTACATATCTGCAAAAAGTAAATTTATGCAAGGGTATAAAATCTTCTGCGTATCGTTATTCCTTAACTGCAAATCAAATAAACAAATGTAAAATTGGAAATTGGTGTTATCTTTGTTTTATAAACCGAAGCTCATACACCTTGGTCACAATGGTCCCCAGCTTCACGTTTCAAAGCACAACAGTGGTGTTTTTTTAGACAATTACATTTACTCTTACTATGTTGAACTCAACATCTAAAGTCATATTTCACATAGATAGTTGAAAATCAAATTAAAGTTCGTGTTTGACTCCAACCCTTCCACTGCTCCCCCTACACTAAACAGACACGTAATACTTAACTGTCAACGTTTTACCGAAATAATTTAATTATTGCCCAAAAAGCGGGCACAATAGTGTGAAATTTTACATTCCCTTATTTTTACCGCTACATTTACTTTAAAGTAAACATGTTACAAGAGAGAAACAATTGCATCATAAGTTTTCAATAATAAGGCGGCGTTCACAATGAGGGGAGTCGGAAGGGGAGACCCAGTAGATGGCTTCTGCGCCAGCTTCGCACTGTCAGGCTATTTTCTAATAGTTTTTTGGCCAATATCACGGCCACGGTTGGTATGTGTAAGTCTTTATATATTGGGTGGGCACAGGCAACGCGGCGATTTGCTATAGAATTTCAATATTCAAGAGTTAAGTGGCGCCTCATTATCGTCCACATATCTTTGATAATGGCTTTGTTAATTAGGAGCTTGTTCTTTAGAGTAAGTTGCGATCTGATCATAATCAAGGCTAACTTGTTTTGTCTAAGCGTTAATCCTTGTGCGCTTTCCTAGTCAGTCTCCTATTTAATGTCAAGCCGAGTTACGTAATTGTAGGAATCGTTAGTATAAGGGACATTTTGATGGAGATTGGTGGACAGTTCAGCTTCCTTAGGGAAAGAGTGGTGTTAGCGGATTTGTTGATGTTCCAATATTTTAAAGATATATTAACCATAATTAGATATACATTAATACTATATTTAAATTTTCTTTCTAAAACCAAAAACATTAATTTAACAATCAATTTTTGATATTTGCCTTCTTAGTCTATATTAACACCACGTTAAACGATCGCAGCTGCGCCCATCTGTTGATTAACTGCAATACCGTCTACAATGCCAATTGCAGTGTTACATAATAAAACAAATTATATTTGTCGCTGTTAGAGTTCCGTGGCAAAGTAGATAAGTTTGTTTGGTCAGAAATCCCCCACTGCATGCGAAATAAATTCGAACTGCCGTTCCATGCTGCCGTCCACATCCAGCGTGTCGTCTATGAAGTGCATTTCGACATGCTCCTGAAATGCCTTAAAAGAAACTTGGCTAGAGTATAGTTTGCCGCACATGGGGCACGTCTTGTCTATGATGTCAGCCTTAAGCTTTTCTTGTATGGTATTGAAGCGGGGCGAGAGCAATGGCGATGTGTTTGCATGCCCGTTAAATGTTTCGACTACTTGGCCTGTTGGGTTCGCGTTGATATTTCGTTTAGGCTCACTGCGCTCTTCCGTTTCTAAACTTTTATCTGCCATTTCAGGTCTGTTAACATTCTTCTGAGCGCACTCAGGACAGGGATAACCCGCTGCGTCAAGATAAGATAGTAAATTTACAGTTCACCTCTATAGTACAAATCACGGACTTACCGATGCGAGTTTCTAGTTTTCTAAGCGCAGAATTGAGCTCTTCTTGCTGCTTCATGGCTTCACGTTGCAAGTCCTGCAGGCCTTCCATGCACTGCTTAGCATCGACATTGGCATCCAGGTCATTAATAGCATTTTCACCTTCTACATTCATTCCACACGGATAACCTAGTTCCACCTCGCTAGAACCAAATTCGTCTAGAGGAATCTCTTCAAGACTGACTTCACTTATCATCTTTTGACGCAAGCGTGGATTTGGCGAATGCTGAGTAAATGTTTTAGAACGAATCAGGTTTTGATTGGCACCAATAGAAACTGACCCCGCGCCAACAGTATGAGACGTAATCGTTACTTCGTCGTCATTTGTTACTTGCGGCTGGTCCTTAGATATTTTCGAAAGGTGCGACCAAAGCCTTCGATTCTCATGGGACACCATGTAAATTTGATCCTCGAGCTGCTCTTTTTGGCGTTGCAGTTCATCTAAGCGGGAACGAAGCGATATAACATCGTCACTGCAATCTGTTTTATCCTGATTACTGTTACTGGGGGACGCAGACCCAATGGTGGCCTCACGCAGACGCTGGTTCTCCTCCTCCATGTTGGACACGCGTCGTTGCAACTGTATGCATCGCTCTTTCATTGTCTGCAACGCTACTTGCAATGCGTAATTCATTTTGTTACTGGAAGTTGAACTGGAGCTATCCGGGGAAGGTAATATAAGTTTGGCAGCTTTGGTTTCCATAGTGAGCCTTTTTAATATACGCTCTCAATCTAATGTACCAATGTTTTCTAGCACATTATTATAGACAATCTGTTTTCATTTATCTGAATTGCAATTTGCAATGACGAATGTCTTCTATCGATATGTCATATCGATGTATTTACAACATTACGAAGTTGCCCCAGAGCTGTCATCTTCTTCCATTTTTCAGTGTAAAAACAAAACGATGCGACCAATAAGGATCGATTTCAGACTTTACCGTTAGGTATATTTTCGAGCTCGTTGTCTAAGGTGAGAAGAGTAAAGCACCTAAATGCTGAGCTTGATGAAAATATCTTGGAACATATAATAACTTTTCTTACCGATACTTTCTATAGTGCTAAATGTTATAGTATTGTGATATTGAAAAGATTTGGCTGATGTATAAAAACAATAATTTAACTTTTAAATGCCGGAATTGGTCAAGATATATTGATATGCAATCATAAGTAATTCATCCATTTTGTTCCCCTACTTTACGATGCATTTCCGATAGATAGAATAAGAGCTTTCTTTCTTTTTTCCAATTTATAATCTATTTTTCATGTTATCTTAAATAATATAGTAGTTTAAACATTTTTTTAATTTGTACACTTCTTTCTTTACTAACACCTTTTGTTCTTAACTGTAGGCTTTAATATTATTAGAGCCTGAATTCCGACCTCTGCACACACACACACACACACACACACACACACACAAAGAAATGTATGAGTATGGGCAGATCATGGGTTAAAAAATTTTTTTGGTATTGGCACGCGTTTAACGCGCGCACTTTCATTTAAACAATTCCTAGACAACGAGAGAGCACTGCGAGTAAAAGCAATTTCCTGTAGTGGGAGCGAAATAAAAAACAGCGATGCCTTTCTATTCGATATGTATAATGTAAGCTATAGTATGCAGCCCTCATTCGCATATCGTTATCGCAGAGTTGACGATAGTTCAAAGCTATCGAAAATTCATCGTCTATTAGTATTGTTGCTGCACAACACTCGAGGATTGCCGCCACCACGTTATCGGCAACTATTATTTGCTTATATTTAATAAAATACTCAATAAAGTTAAGTTCCATTGCAGGAAATGGAATTCTGTTAAAAATTGAGTGAAACAGACACCACCCCCGACTTATTTAAACGTTAACCTTAACTGGGTTAACTAATGCGCTGAAAAAGGGAGCACACGGCCGTTATTGCAAAACAGCTGTAACAATGTTATGCGGTAAAACTTTAGCTAATAATTTCTTTAAATATAAGAGAAAAGTTTTTTCAAACATTTCTCAGAGTATTAGGCGGTGTATAGGAACTTCTCGGTTACCCAAAGTTTTATTTTTTGGTACTGACAACTTTTCGTTACCAAGTTTAAAAAAATTGCACCAGAACAACTTGGACCTTACCGTTGTTACCTCCTTTAAGAGCCCCGCGAACTGTGTGCGCAGCTATGCCGAGGCACAAAAACTTTCTATATACCGATGGCCAATATCGGTGGAGCAGTGTGCTGATTTCGAGCTTGGTGTTGTGGTGTCTTTTGGACACATGATACCATTGCATATTATTAACGCTCTTCCCCGCGGGATAATCAATGTTCATGCCAGTTTGCTGCCCCGGTGGCGCGGTGCTGCACCGATTATGTATGCTATTATGGAAGGCGACACCAAAACGGGCATTTCCATAATGAAAATAGAGCCACATCAATTTGATATTGGGCCCGTAAGGACAAACTATCCGCAAACGAATTCGCACAACTCTACTTGCTACTTTTTCAGATATTGGCGCAACGTGAAATGCCCATTAAAAGCACTGTCTACATGCCAGAGCTTCATGATGCCTTGTCGCAATTGGGTGCCGACTTGCTTGTGGACACAATCAATGACTTGGAAGAGAGGCTTTTAAAGGCGAAACCGCAGAACGATAGAGAGGCCAGCTATGGTAAACATATCATATATTCAATTGACTACCATATTGATAACATTTAATCGCATAGCTCCAAAGATTACGTCCCGAATTACCGAAATCGCTTGGTGTGAACAAACTGCCATGGAGCTGTTTGCCCGGCATCGTGCACTTTACGGGTTTAAGAACCTAACTACAACCTTACAGGACAAAACAGTGTATCTACTAGAGCTTAAACAGCCTGAACTGCAACTATCGGCGTCTCCTAATCCAGCTCCGGGTTACATTTGCTACCATCGTGTCCGGAAATCCTTGATAGTTGGTTGTGCACGGGGTACCCAGCTGGAGGTGTTGCAGCTACGAATCGAAGGTAAAAAACCAATGAGCGCGCACGATTTTAACAATGGATTCCTTAAACGGACACAATCGGTGCAATTTACGCAAAATAAACAAGTTGTCTTCTGTTAACAAATTCTGCTCTGAGGAATTTTATTAATGACGTAATAGCGGCAAAGCTTATGCCAAATTTGAGGGCTTAACTTCTTTGGTTTCCGATGATTGCTGCGTGGATTTTTGCAGCAGATTTTTGGTGAACCACATCGGGCGTGGCTTTTTCATTTCTATTATGCGTTTGCCGCTAATTGCATCTGTTGCTTGTTCTGCCGTCTCGCCTGCGTATAAGACAATAACCTCCTGCTCGATTGGCTCCAGACCTAACTGAGTTTGTATTTTATCCTGCATGAGCTGAGTTTCCTGTCGCACTTTATCGTAACAGTGAGCTGTAATATTTGATATAAGTACGAATTTGTTTTGGACTAAGACAACTTACGACACAGGACTCCCAATTCGTGATCGTGGCCGCATTGCTGGCAAGGTCGGAGGTTCTTCTTCTCCTGCAGTGGCTTCCATACAAACGCTGGATAGCCAAATTTTCGATTTAAACGTTTCTCTACACTTCGACGGTGTTTTGGTACTGCCCAGAGCACGCCATCGCCCAGAAGATTCTTAAGACTTAACTTCTGTGAGGTGTTGGTTCTCGGGCTACTGTGCTGTTGGTGCACTAAATAGGCCAACGCGGGTGGGGATCCACAGTTGGGCAAAAACAGGCGTTCCAAATTATTGAAAAAGTTCGTAATTGATATAATGAAATTACGAGACATGCTTAAGCTGTAATTGGACAAATGAATTTATGTAAATGTAGGGATGGGACCGACTTATATCGATGTTAAATAAGTTGCTAACTTGCGATATATCGCCTTTGTGTCAGACTATTGTTTTAACCTCGAACATTAATAAACAGGTACACAATGTACGGAATATTCTTGATGTAGGAACTCATTGAATTGATTAACATTAATTAAATAAGGGAAAGCTTAAATATAATGTTGAATTATCGAGATTATGTTATCGATAAGTTTAGAGTGCACGACGACTGTTTGATTGTCGAACGTAGGTTGTCAGCTCTGGTATTTTTTCCAGGCGGCGGCCTGCACAGCTGTTCTTGCATTATTACGTCAAAACAAAAAGTTCTGTGACATCAAGTTTTAGAAATGTGTTAAATGAAAAGCAAGACTAACTTTAAACGAACAAAAACAAGTCATATGAAACGTTTCTAGTGTATCTGGAAGAACGTAAAATATGCTGCCTTTAGTAATGCAACAGGCGTCTTGACAGCCAGCAGGCGCAGGGAATTCCAGTAAAAAACGTCCAGGCAAGGCTGAGGCAGTGCATCTCAAACTGTGCAATAGACATGCAGCTTTCATTTGCCGCCGAATCTTAAGCCAACCAACGTCAAGTTCAAAATCAGCGCGCTCGGTTTTTCTTTTCGTCTGGCTGTCGCATTTCAACACACTCCCATACAAACTCACCACGCAAATCGCAACGGCCGCGCAGGCGTAGCCAGGCAAGCTACGTGCGCAGACAGCAGTAAAACGCGAAACACTTCACTGAAGCTGCTGCAGTTGGACGCAAGCACCGCGCTTTGCCCGTCTCCAATCTTTGTCCCGTCGTCGTTCGTTATTGCGCGTGTTGTGTACGTCTGTATATGTATCTGTGTCTGTGCCTATTTCTGTATTCTGTTTCTGTGTCGTCTATTTCGAATCGGAACATAAGCCTATAATAATGCTGTTCGAAGTTTAACAAATATTTGTTCATGTTTCATCACAATTTGTAGGCTTGGAGCAGCGAAGCTTGGCAATTTAAGTTGCAAGCGGTTTGATTTATTTAACGAGAGGCCCTCGTTTTAAACGGATAAATAAAAACCCCAAATCAACGAAATCATATCAAAACAAATCGAAATAAAAAAAATGGCCTGCTTAAGTACTTCCGGTCGAGTCGCGTGCGGTTCGCGTCGCCAACAAGCGCACAAATTTATTTATCGGTTATTCCTAAGCCCCAGCTTGCGTCGGCAGAGCAGCCACCTGTCAGTTTGTCCAGCGCCCGCTGAAGGACATGCAAGGAAATACGCACACTCACTCAATCCGCAATTGGCTCGTCGCTTTCATGGATTAAGCCTCGGCACTAACCAGGATAACCTCAGCCTGCTGGTGAGTAGAAAACCAGCGACGATGACATCGACGATC